AAAAAATGCATCAACATTTGAATCTTTCCTGAAATTGAATGGACATCTTCTTGACAGAAGTTTAATGTATAAATACTACAGCAAAGAAAGATTCGGGGATCCTAATGCTAAACAAAAGTATGTGATTTTTTTTCACCTTTAATTGAAATGTCAAATTTTATCAAATAACAGTAATGAAAGTAATATGAACTGTTCCTGACAACTAAAAAGATAATTTAGTGCAAATATTTACTATTAATCTACTGTTGATAAACAGTTTAATACATTTGAAAATGATGGTGAAAAGCATTTAAGCAATTGTGATACCAATCATACCAATGTTACAATAAATTAAAATATTTAAATTCTGGTAAAAGAAGATAAAGTGCATGAAGCATACACAAAAACATTATTACTATATCTACTAGAAATAGCAGCTACACATTATGTTAGTGAATGATTTAATTTTATTCCACTCACATACGTAATTCATGTGCAATTATAGAGACGCTATTTGCTAAAACTCTCTCTAGATCTAACCATTTGAATAATGAAACTAAGTGATTGTTATTAAATTATATGTAAATTTGTTAATCCGTGAAATGTTTTCATAACATACTTTGTTAGAAAAGCTGTTTTTCATAAGTTTGCTACATTACAATTTCAGTGGTTAAAACGAACACATGCACAGATATATTTTAAGATCTTTGAGATTTTATTTTGTTTTACCAGAATTTATGTTTTAATAATTGATACCGTCTCATGGTGAGCAATTCAAGATAACAATCATGTTGCATGTAATTGATTTTTGTTTATAATTTCTGTTACAGTTTTGTTCTACCAGACAAACGGCTTTTACCAGGGATGTGAATGAATAACATACAGTAGCTTAGCAACAAGATAAGTGCTATCATATGTTTTGTGTCTACACAAATTTCAACTGATCAGCAACATCTGGACTGTGATAAAATCAAGGGAGATTATAACAATGATACTCTGACGAGTAATGGAGGAATTATCCCCCTTGTGAGAGAAAGTATTTTAATTATATGTGAAGAGAATCGTTTTATATGATTGTATAGTTATGGAGCTACTATACTAGAACCATTTGTACACTATGTGTATGTGATATAGAAATTTTAAGTGAGTCCATGCATTTAAATATATACCTCGTGATAGTATTGAACAAATTACCATTTTAAAATACAATGTCATTTAAAATGATATTTGCAGGTTACTTTTTATCATTTTAAAAGCAGATTGTGTGTCTTTAATCAGAATAAATTTTGATGGTGTTGTAGTACAGTAACAATGTTCAGTCAAACTTGCCAAAGACTTTACTCTCTGTAAGTGATATTGCTGGCGGCTGCATATATTGGATGCTGCTATCGCTGAACCAGAATGAATTTTAAACACTCGGGGAATGCTTTACAGCTGGTGCAGGCAACTTTTACTTGCTTCTTTGAAATTTTCAAGGACAACTGCATTTTATCAATTTAAATTGCATATAATTTCATTTTTCTAAGACACCCCATTTACACAAAAACCACTTTTTAATTTTCAGATGCACATTTAGATTGTACTGCAAGCTGTGTAGTTATTAGTATTGTAAGTGTTTCCAAAAAAATGCAAGGTGTTTACATCATATGGCCAATGATTCATTCAGGACCAAAGTTACAATGTTTCACTTATTTGCTTCTGTCATCAAGCCCTTCAACTAGATTGTCATTTTAACAATTTCAGTCATAGTATTTTATGCAAAATGATCTGTAGTTTTTATTACTTATGTGTAATGGCATTTTGTATGAATAAAAAAACATCAAATTTACTTCTCTTTATGTCATTAGTTTTACCGTAAAAATATTGTTTAACCTATAAACTAACTTTGATAAACCAAGTGTTCTTCAGATATAGAACATTATTATGATCATGTCATGTCTTAGAAATTAAGGCTCTCTAAGATAGTACAATTAAATACGCTCCTACAGTAAAATTGCACTCCTAGTTATGTAAACATTCTGTGCATGTGAAAATACTAATGTACTTGTTTATAGCACTTGATTTATAGCATTTAGAATTTTCTGTTCCAACATGATGCTAGGCATCAATGTTTTTATGCTCCCCAAAGGGTGAGCATATAGTCACCGCTTTGTCAATCCGATTGTTCATCCTTCCGCTTTTCTTGTCTGGGACATAACTTTGTAACAACAAGAGGTATCAACATGAAACTTTGTCGGTAGATAGATCTCATTGGATAGAGGTACAGTGTTCTGTTATACAAAATATAATGTAACTAAAAAACATTGAGTTCAGTAAGCCTATTAGTATCATATACAATATTTGAAGATTTTTCAGCATTGGTTATTTCATACAAATATTTTGTTATCATTACATGTGCAGACCAGTCCTGCTTATGAACCTATCTGTCATTATCAACAGAGGAGTGAGGGGAATACAAAACTGTAGCATGGGAAATGAGCATATGATTTTAGCTGTTGTCTGTCTGCTCTGGCAGGTCATCATGGTTGTTTTGGTGGCAAAAATGGCAGAGAACTTGTTCCAACTCCCTGTGCAGGGCATTCAGCAGGGATTCTGTCTGTACAACCACTGTCGAGTCAATGTGGTTTAGTTTTAATTGGCAAAATGGCTGGGTTAAAGTCCCAACAGCATTCAGCAAGAATTTTTACTCTGACCATGGCAAGAATTAATCCTGAAATCGAAGTTCCTGCTATTTCTTTAGGAAAGCAGACAAACTACAATTGACAAAGTGTACAAATTTTGTTCTTTCAAAATTTCTTTATTTTCTTTTTTTTTCAGTAAATATCATTGTAACATTTGTAAACATATAACACCTGACGATGCTTTTATCACAATCTTCAAAATAAAAAATTAATTTCATAAATTAGACAAAAAAAGTACATACAGAGAAATAAAATATAAATAATATTTTTGGTTCACTGTGTTTTATACAGATTTATAATGGTGTGAAACTTGTATTTTAAAGGTTATTATTTAATACTTGGTGTAGAAAATACTTGCAGCTTATACACAATCAAAAATATGTAGCACCCCTTCACATTCATGCACATATGCTTCTTTTAATGAAAATTAGTGTTCTACATTGTTAAAATATGCCAAGTGTACAAAAAGAATTACATAGATTTAATATATTTATACATTAACAATGCTCTTGACATATTTTTACTGTAAGTTTTTATTTTAATATTTCATTTGTTCATCTTGAGGTGTACAGTTTTCTATATCTATAGCCTGTCTATGATTTTGACTGAAATATAGTTGGCAGTATTACTTAAAACATTGGCTGCCGATGAAGTTGTCCATCATTGAATAATCTTTGTTTCTAATATTTCCAAAGTGTATGAAAAATGATAGGTAATTATTAATGATAATGATTTTATGGGTGAGCAAAAGTTTAAAATTAGAAATTATTTAAAGCCACCCCCCTCCCTCCCCCAACCGCTTTTCCTTTAAATTCAGGTTACCTTTGAAAAAAAAAAAAGAATCGAAATGCCATACAGGAACATAGAATTATAAATAACAGCTTCTGTTTACAGCATAGGATTTGCAGCAGTATCAGTTTTATCCCATTTTGCACCTTTATTTCTCATTCAGCAGTAAATAAAGTTAAAGATAACACTCAACTTTTCCTTGAACAGTAACATGACACATGTATCCTAACTTTAAATATCTATTTTCGAAAATCCATGATTATCTAAGAGCTGTGCTTCAATCATCTCTGAACAGTTCATATTATATAAACTTAACAGCAGAGTAAATGCTTTATTTTAAATGACTGAATGAAAACTATTCACTGCTAGCACATGTTCAGGAATGGTAACTCTTGTCTATGTCTTATGTTTATCTATGATTTATTTCTTCTCTCCTTCCCCTGCAGCTTCTTGTTCCTGGTCTTCTGGTATGGGTGATTGCTGGAAAAACATGAAAAGATTTTTATGTTATTTGTGTGAAAAAAGAACATCTAGGTAAATTTATTCTCTTTACAACAAAATTTTATAATTTTTCATGTTCAACAAAAAAATAAAATTCTGAGACTGCTCTTACACAAAAGTTTGTTTCTTAATTATACACAAGTATGATGTGAACCTAATTGGTATAGGGTGTAAAAGAAAAATCTGAAAAATAATTGCAAATTCGTAATATTGATTCTACAGAACATAGAAGGGTATTAAAGTTTTCATGTCATATTGGTTTCTTACATTGGAAAATCTCACCTTTTTTCAACAATTTTTGGAAAAAATTCCCATCCTCTTTAAGAAATGATCACAAGTTTTATTCTAGTAAATTAAGAAATGTTTGCTAATTTATCGCTTGTTTTAACTACCAATAACATCATACCTTTCCGGGATCGGCCTTGTCCATTTCAGCATCTTTCTTTTTCTCCATATTCTTTTTCTCTTTGTTAATGATATCAAAGAATTCATCCTCTGCTTTTTTATAGAGATCTTCATCCCCTCCTAGAGCTGCCTCGCCACCTTCCTCTTCCTCCTGTAATTTTATTTTATAAGATAAATTATATCATAATATTGTGACATGATGTTTTTTTAGAAACCACTGTGTGAACTATTAATAAATAACTGACTGTTGCAACCTCCAACCCTTAAACCCCTCTTTATCAAGGAGGTTGCTGTTTATTTTCTAAATCACATATTAATCTTATAGTAAAAATTACATCATCATCACTTTTTGCATAATTTTTATCAAAACAAAAAAAGGAAAAATGAGAAACATACCTTATCCTTTCCACCGTCAGCTGAACTTTTAGCTCTTTCCTTTAATTTCATTTCTCTATGTCTTGCATCTAAGATCTTTTCTCTTCTTGTTTCTCTTTCAAACATCTGTTGGTAAATTTAATAAAGCGTATATAATTATTTTGTTTACTGATAAGGTATGACTTTCATCCTTAGCATGTAAAAATTTTGTTTACAAACATTACTTTAATATGTATCATATTAATTGTCAACAGATCTTATTTATTGTGTATTTCTTTTACTAAAATTGAATTTGACAATAATTGGCTCTTAAGGAATTGTTTCTTGTAACGTGATCTTTAAGAAAGTCAAAAATGAACAAACATAAATATGATTCAGAAAATCAATTAACTTATTTTGCCAACTTCTTTTGTTTTAGAACACGGCTTCCATTACATAAACTCCTGATTTTGGCATGTGACTTTCAAGATATATTAGCTTTTCCTACTTTACCTATATAATGTGCCTTCCAATGTCAGACATTTTCAGTCTCTGACTTCAAAATTTGGAACTTAATGGAAGCCCTGTTGAAAATATTTAACATATTTCTGGTCTTTAAAGACATCATGTAAATAAGACAGTACTTACAGCTGTAACTAAGTTCTTTTCATTTCTCTGTAATGTATATAAACTGTCTGATAATTCTAATAATGTTGTAGTTCCAGTGTGGGAACCACATGCCACCAAACGTCCCTGTTCCTGTACACGTAAACTGTGAAGTGGTTCATCACAAACCTGAAATTATAAAGTTCATATACATATATAGACTTCTTGCTACACGCAAACATATCTTTTTTATATGAAAGATGATTTAGATGTTGTTTTTTTTTCAATTTTTAATAATTTGGATTAAGATAGCATTGACACAGTTATAGTCATTTATAACAAGTTTCCAGTTTGGTTGATTGCACCACTAAAAATGCTAAAACCACTGATGTTATTAGCCATTACCCTTTAGAAAAAAATCAGAAAAGAACATTGCATGATTTAGGTAAAAAATAAGTGATTCAAAAGTCAGATTCTTTTTCTTAAAATTACATGATTTACTGATTGCATTATCAAGGTTAAAAAGAAAAAGATATTTCAGCAGTTTATATACATAAAGCTATGAAAAATAGTTGACAAAAATTTATTATGCCCTTTATTTGCCAAAATTTCTTGATTTATACAGTTAATATGCGCTAACATTATTTTTGTATCTTAAAGAATTATAAATTTGACTGACAAAATATGTTCAAACATTACTCCACTTTTAAAAGTTTTAGATGAACATGTGCCTTTGAATTGATAAAAACTGGAACAATCTTACCTGCAAACTGAGTGTAGGATCATTTTGTTTAAATATAATATCCCAGACATCCAAAGTACCGTCCATCTTGGTAATAAAGAACACTGAGGGTCTGATAGGACTCCAGCAACCATCTGTGAGATATGATTGATATTGTCTGGAAAAAACCAACAAATAATAAGTTCAAAACATAAACTCACACACAATATATATTATCATGACCTGTATATGTCAACTGTATGTCTAAATAATTACAGAATCTGTATGTCTTGTTAAATATAGAGTAGAGATAACTTTTAAATGTTATTTTGTCTATAAGATTAAAAGTTTGCTTTATTGACAGTATCAAGTAATACATGTACTTGTTAACACAATTATTCTAACCATTGACCAACTTTAGGAAATCAAGTGTTTGAGTGACACATAAAGCACAGATAAACATCAGAACTATCCTTACTTTGTCCACATAATAGAAGATTCTCTGATATCCTCAGACCAGATTCTTGCCTTCCAGTCTCCAACACTGAGAAAGTTTTTGGGGAAGAATGGGTTTCTCTGTAGTGAGTATACAGGTCCAAGATGACCTGGATAAATGGCAACGATCTTCTCTGCTGGCGTCTTAGCTTTCCTGTTACATGACATGACTGTACCCTGCTCTGTACCAACCATAAATTTTGTGGGCTAAAATAGAAATGATAAAAAAATAAATTTCTTCACAATTTCAGTTAAATTTACTAATTTCATAGGGTTTCTAAAACAATAACTTTTTGCAATTACCATTGTTTAGTCTCTAATATTCTGATTAATTAAACATATTCTAAACAATGTTATTTTTTTTGCACATTTATTTTACAGTTGTGTTTTGACTCCTACCACAGCAAATGATACAACAAGATGACTTTCGTAGGGAGAACCCACATGTCTCTCTGCACATTATTCAAGGCAAAAATAGTTAACTAAAAAAACTTGAAAGAATCTTTGACATTCAAACAAAAAAGATATAGGAATTTAAATTACAATTCACATACCATAGTAGGTTCATATTCTAATGACATTGCTCCTTGTGCTTTTGTCATATCTAATTTCTTTGTTGGATCTAAGATCAGTTTTTCAGTTGGTTCCCCCATTTTTCTAATATCCCACCACAGTGCCTGACCATCTGATGATGCTGAGAAACATTCGGTACCAGTCTTAGACTGGATCCAGATAGTCTTGTAGGCTGGGTCTCTGTGACTGTGTTCAATTGGTGACATTTCTACAGGCTGAGAACCCTTTCTCACATCCCAGTAAGCTATAGATAAAATAATGTTCATATAAAGAAAAATTTCACATTGTTGTTTAGACTATAAAGTGTTGTTAAGATAATTTCAATAATTCACATTGATGAAATAAAAGAGAACTCATTTCCAAAAAGATTTAAAAAAAACATACCATTACTTGTTATGAAATATTTATTCATGCCAAGTGGAGCAAACTTACCAATTTGTCCATTGTAGCAACCACCGAGGAGAACATGAGAGTCTTTAGGATTGTATTCTACACACACCAAGGGTGAAACTGGTTTCAGAGTCATTTCTGGTTTGTTTGGATTTTCTGGAAATTAAACAAATAATACTAACTACAGTATAACACTACAAAACTACAATTGTGGTACTAATAAGACCTTGGGTTTGTATAATGTACATGAGGGAAAATTATGTTAGTATGAATATATAACACAAAATTAAAAACCAACAATATTGTGTATCTGGCCAAACTATCTGTATCCATGAAATTGAAAGACACATGGTCCTTCAAATTACTATCAATCACATGTGCGTTTTGATAAAAATAACTACATTCTTTATTCAGATAATTTTTTTTCAAAGAAAAACGATTATTTTAAATCTTGTAACTTACCAACATCCCAGATGTAAGAGTCCATACTGGTATCTGGGGAAGATCCCTGGAACTCTAAGTTACAGTAGGCCACTGCCAGTTTTCTGGGACCATCTGGGAACCAGGATATATGTGTTGCTGTTCTCTTGATCTCATTTGGATCTCTGACAAAATTAATACATCATTTAACTAGAGTTGTAATAGAAACACAGTGGAAGCAAAGGTTTTTTAACATGCCTTGATCTACTAAATTTATTGTACATAATACAGTATAAAAAACCCATAAAATAAGTGATTACAAAAGCAAGATATAAATGATAATCAAATACTGTTAATGTTTGAGATAGGATAAAACAGTATCAAAAGCATGGTTGACCAAACAATAACATTTACTAATACATGTATATATTTAGTACAGCAAACTAATGTGAAAACTACCTACAAATCACAGATGACCTTAAAAGCCTTCTTTTTCAACAGTCTTCAATATTAATATTAATGTTACATTTTTTTTCTTTGAACAGTACATCAACAATAGAAAAATGCCATGGATTCATTACTTGCAGATACAGTTGAAGTAATATACAAACAACCTACCTAAATACATTGATGGTTTTGGCAGACGGTGATTCTTCAACTTCATCCAAGTGAATGTTTTCAAAATATTCTTCATAGATATCTATAGCATTATTTTGTTTTATACAGTGTTCCATAACCTGAGAGGAAAACACATAAAAATGTTAATAACTGCAACAATATAGCGTATGATAAGGTTCACTGTTGTCAAATAAAAGCGATCCATAGAAATATGGTAACAAAAATTCTAGAGCAATTAACGTATATCTTCAGTAATTTTGATAAAAGGTTAAAATCAACAAATATAATTAGTGCTCGCCAATTTTTTTAAGCCAATCACCGACGAGGATTTTTCAAATTTTCAGGTTACAAATCTTAATAGAACAGATTTTATATAAACTGGACGTTTTATATTATAAAACGCAAGTGGGCGGAGCACTAAGCCGGTTAGAGAGCATATTGGATGTTCTTCGTAAATAAGAAAGCTACAGTCGCTCCGCAAGCTCCGCTCCTTTTTAGCTTTCTTATTTACGAAGAACACCCAATATGCACTCTAACCTATACGTAAAAATGTCACATTTTATGCAAACACTATATATAGATAAGCAAATTATATATAAATGAATTGAAATTTTTTTTTTTGAAGTGTTAAGGAATGCAGATCTTTACCTGTTCAAACCTCTAAGGAATATTAGAAAATCTTTAAAAAAAGAAATATAACTTACTGTTCCAAGATGATTAATTGTGTTGACATACATTTCATCTTTTTCTACCTTCTTTCTAAACCTAGTGACCTGTTCTACTTCTTGTGGGTTGATGTCTTTAGGCCAGCCACCTTCTGTGTGGTTTATACCTCGAGATCCAGTTTCAAATCTTTCAGTATTGACCTAAATTGAAACAAATTCTATTGAGTTGACAAAAAAAAAAAAAAAAAAAAAAAAACTTTTAAAAGTGAAAAAGTGGTAACATGAAATTCAAAAGAATTTTTGACACATGTTTGCATTTTAGTTTCATGATAATAAAGTGTTGATGACTTTTAACGAACAAACAAATATGGGTAAATGCTTCATTAAGTTTTGGTTAAAATCTGGCAATAGCAAACCTTTCAGACAAAATACAATTTTTAATCTTTACCTCATGTTCAGACATTTCTTGGACACATTGTATTCCTGAGTCAACTGGATTCCTTTCTACAAAGTTTTCTGCTAGGCTGGGATCTGGCAGAATATCTACATGTAATTCAGCTGCACGATCAGTGAAATTGCACTGTCGGCCAAACTCGGCCCGCTTTTTAGTGTATACATATACTATCTCCATCTTTGTTGCTGGTTATTGCTTTTTACAAATTCATTAGAATATATGTCACCTGCAAGTAAACAGAATTCCTAAAATAAGTTAAAAGCAACGCAACATTACTTCAGTTTTCTCACCTACATGTACTTGTTGCATATAAATGATATATATATATAAAATATTTGAATGTAAATGATATTGTTTTAACTTTCTAAATATGAGAGAGTCAAGCCCATTTCTGGTAGGGTTGCAAAGTAAAGCCAGATATTCAGTGAAGTGTTTAGAAGGAAAACAGTGGGATATCAAATTAAATTTAAAATCAACATAAAATTTGGCTTATTCAAAAATTGTATCAAACTTGCAAGGTAAAAATGCTTAGGGTAATGAACTATCACAACCGTAGATATACTGTATAAATTATCTAAATAAAGCATGGGAAATAAATGTGACCAGACCGTCCTGACTGTGATTTCAATGTATTTTGTAAGAGTTTTAGTCATTGCCATGCACTTTGAACTTTATTGTTGGCATACTCTGTTTTGATTGGTTGTTAGTAATTTCTTTGTATCACGTGCTGATTCGCGGGGTTTTCAGTGCCGCCTACGTTTTTCTGTGTAACCTGTAGTTGAGATTGTGTCTTGGTAAACTTTTGAAAGTTTGTCTTCTTGTTATAAGGAAATATATCTTGGTATGTATATTTAGTATTTGTTGTATTACATGAGCTTCTGTTGAAATGAGTATTACATTCGTTTCTTTGTTTTCGGCGATATTTTAGACGTATATGTAATATTGCATATTTTGTGTACATGAAATTGAAATGGCATAATCTGGTAAATTAACTATTACTACTGTCACATATATTTCTTTTGTGCACAATACTTATTTTTAACTTACAGACTAAGCAGCACACACTGGAGAGAGAGAGTTTAATGCAGATGCAGTGTAATGTGATTGGTACCATATACTGGTGAGTGTACATGTTGTGGTTATGTTTGTACTATGTTTATGTTGAATACAGGTTTGACATGTAATTTATATGTATTAGGATTTTGTGACATTTATGAAAGGTTAAGTATTAATGTATTTTGGCCACTAGCATTAAAGGAATTAATTGTATTACTCATACTATGATGATCTTGTTAAAATGTTGCTCATGTAATATGTATTTGTAATTCATTATTTTAATTATATAGTAATTGGTTGATGAAATGTATTTTTCAGGTCACTTGTTGTAACTGCAAGTAGCTGTCAACCATCATTTGTAATTGCTTGTGACAGATATGTAAATAAAGAAGAGAACTTAGAAGTGAACCCAACATCTTGGTTTTTATTTAATATATAATGCTTTATGTAAAAGCCCAAGAGTAACATAAATATCATAAACATGAACAAAAAGGCACATGGAAATAAACATGAACATGATTTGAATCATGAATAATTTTGAAATGATATTTTTTTATATTATCTATCTCTCGGTACTGACAATCCCTCATGCGAGTGTTATATGCAAAAATGTGCACGTCGGAAGTGTTAATAAATTGAGAGATAATTAAAACTGAAACTGAAAATTCAGAATAGCCTTGTGTCAGTTGTGAGACTTTGTGATGTTTGTCAATGTTAGTGATTCTGTAAAAACCGTCAAAATAAATTTTAATCATAATAACTGTCTTATTTAAATATGTATACGTATATACTTTTAATTATTCTACAAATTTTACGCCATTTAAAACAAGCAAAGTAATTCAAAAATACCTTTTGAAATTCTGCAGTTCTTCTGTATACAGAATCAAATCGCTACCAGCGTTGCTAATAGAAACATTCAACAACGCCTGCGCGACTGTTGTGGATTTCCGGTCATGTATATTTAACGAAATTTTTATCAGCAATGAAAATTAAAAGATTTATAAATGCTAAAATGCAGGATAATTTCCAAAATGAATATTTATTTTACTATTAAAAACTATTTTAAAATTAATGCATGGGTTAAATTAGTTATTTTATACTCATAAACAACATTGATTAATTTCGTTTAATTTTAGAAAAATGTCTCTCACTCTGATCGACAAATTATATACACAGGCAAAGTAAAACCATTTATTTGTCAATAAAACGCTCTGTCATTTCAATAAAACTACTGATTTAATTAGAAAAAGTTTCAGTGAACATTTATAGCTCATTGATTCAACGTTTTTATTCTTTGTTTTTACAAAATGGATTTGAAATTTTCAACATTTTCTACTTCCTATTTTCACTTTGAAATTAATTTTCGGATATGCATGTTCGGATATACAAAAAGTAGATTAAGTTTATTACATTGTGTACTATTTAAGGTCAGTGAAAATGGGTATTTCCTAAAATATGCACATACTTTAAGTATTCACCAAGACTACCACATGAATCAATAAACTTGTAAATTACCTTTTAAATTTTTGATGTTGAACATAAATTTCTTAAATGATTGATGACATTTAGAAAAAAAAAATTTAGAAGTAATATTGGCCAAATGTACATATGTATATAGTCTATGTTTAATGATGGTCCGTCCGGCCCTAAGGACACAAAAGGCGGCTTTCACGGTTGACCTTGGACATGTCACCATTCTAGCCAACTAATTCTACTACTGTGCTACATGTATTTTTGTGTCTGGGCAATTTCTCGCCTCTAAGCGAGATTCTGCCCCAGAATGAAAATATCTCAGAATCAAGCTTTGGCAAGTCAATTTATTTTGACTAGTCACCATTCATGCCCTTACAGTGTTAATTTTGAAGCACAAAATGGTGATAATTTACCTCCATGCAATTTCCATGGAGTATTAGCTAAAGACATGAATTTTTAGCCAAAAGTAGGACCCTGTACTGCGGTCAATGAGAACCTAAATGTTCTGTAACCTGAGACAATGTGAAAAAGGAGGAACAGCTTCTTTCTAGTTCACAAGTTTATTTTGTATTCACCCTGTTTCTTAAATCTATAGACTTGTGCCATTTTGACTAGTAAGCTCATTTTTTACTAAGAGGTTTTTTTATATAAAAGATCTGAAGATGTTCCTTACATGCAATTTTAAATGTTTAAAGCTCAAATTGTTTTATATTATAAGTTGTTTATACATTTACTTTGTATTTGTGTATGTCTGATTTTAAATTTAAAATATGTTTCCAGAAAAGCCTCACAGGAAGATGTTGGAAAAATCACCTCAAATCTGCTGGACATTATTCATGTTCCAGATAAAGCAGCTGAGAGCATGGCTTTACTTAGACAGTTGTACTTTATCCTCCAAGCAAAGGATGCTGACACTAGGTACATTAAATAGGTCAATCAGGGCTCATTCTGTCATTATCCACTTTAACTATGTACTTACATTCTGTTAATTTGTCTTTAAAAAATATGATTTGGCGATATTTTTCTTTTTTTTGTTGAAGAATTACATATTTATTTACCAATTACAATGATGTCTTAAATTTTGTTTTTAATGCTAAAATAACTTCTGGTAAGACTTGTGATTAACATTTAATCATTTTACACTTTTATGATTTTTTTCTATTAATTTAAGCATGTTGCATAGATTAAGCTAATTATATCTTAAGCATCATTTAGTGACAAATCAAGCCATTTCTGAACTATGTTCATAATCTGTTCATTTAGCTTGCCAAAGCAGCTCATCATTAGGATGATCGACTCAGTCATTGGTTCAGAGAAGGGTAGTATCAAGGAATGTCTACTGTGTCAGAGAATTCTACAAGATTTACTTCCCCTGAGCAGTGACTATGATTCTCATACAGCAAAGATGATGGAGAAAATACCAAGTATTTTACACTTACAGATGTATAAGGTTATTTTTTTTTTATCGATTTGTGAATTTTTTTTTTTAATATTAGCAAGATGACACAAGTGGAAACCTATGAATAGAATAGAACTTCAGATGTTTGAAAATAAAATTGTTTCTGTTAAATTAAGTTTGTGTAAATATGCTCAATGCATTATGTATGGAATTTTTGTTGTTGATTTTTATAGAATACTAAAAATATTTTTGTTAAAAGTATTATTGGACAGCTCTTATTTCATTTACACAAATATTTTGTGATATTTCAGAATGTAGGATGTATTTCAAAGTTATTCAACAATGCCATCAGGTATAAGAGTTTGTTAATTGGTATTTAATGTAAAATTCATTTCATTCATATAAAATAGCATATTTGACTTGGATATAGACTAAAGATTTACAAATTTTATACTTATAAAATAAAATATTAAGGTGAACTTGTCATCAAAAAATTATTCATCAATATGTACCTGCAAATATATGTTGTCTATTTAGATGACATAATTTGTAAATGATATTATAATCTGTTGCAACACTTAACTATTCATTGGCATACAGTTAACATTGAAACTTCTGCAATGAATGTTGTTCATATTTTAATCTTAACATCTTAGTACTAATCAATTTCAAAATTAGATTGCTATGAAATAATGAAATTTAGTTAGTCAAATAGTGGAAATATTTATTCAGTATTTTTGTATGAAGTTGTCCCCATGTTTTTTGATGAATTCAAATGCAACCTATGTAAATGAACAGTTTAATTTCTAATAATATACTAATGAAGTATTTATGTTCTTCAGATGGCTTCAAACACAAGATTTGGAGTTTGAAGTTCAGCGTAAAGCATTCTCATTCCTGATTGCTGTATCTCTTCTTCATTCTGATCAGCTTATTACAGGTAACTATGATCTCATTTCATACTTATTTAGTTATGGGACAGTATTTCACATTATTTTGTGTTTCTTTTATGAAATTAGTGCTTTAGTCCACTGATGTTTATAGTTCGGATCACTTGGTCCACATTATTGCAGTGTGACTAAGGAACTCTAAAATTGAGGTGATATTGTATCTATATGAGGAACTTACTTGATTACTTTGAATTCAAATACATGGTAATAAAAGACATATCTGCATGTATAGATCCATACCTGCTTGTACGTCAGTGCTGTTTGATGAGACTATACCATTAGCTGATCAGTCAAGGATAAAATTATGCTCAAATTTGATATTTGAAATATTGAAAATTGCTACAATGTCTTAGTTAACAATGAAATCAACATGTTTCAACTTCACAAGTATGTATGTAAAGTTTTAAACTCTGCACACTATAAGGACTAAGGAGCCACAATATGAATATATAGTGTCATTAAAAAAACTGGCAGTTTTTTTAAGGTATTACCATCCTAATGCCTTACCTACGCTTTGAAGAGTATTCAAATAGGCTAGAACTACTGTTAACTACATTGAAACTGAGGGCCATGGGTTCAAACCTCAGATGGGTCTTTCTTTTTTTTCTTTTAACATTATTAATGTATCTCTCCATCCATTTTGGGTAGAAAAAAGTGTTTATTTTTTATTATTTAATTTATATAGGTATTTATTGGCTAAATAATGCTAAATCTAGTAATAAATATGGTACCTGATATTTTCAAAGTGTAATAAAATCAAAACTAGACGGTAAAAGTATTTAATATTTTACAAGATCAACCAATATACTTTTTTAAAATTTAGGGAAACTTTGAAAACAGGCACTCATTTGGGTAAATTTTAAGGAATATTTTAAATTAGGCTCCCTAAGTAGGAAAATGGTCAAACACGTGTTAAAAAAAGGTTGGTAGGGTAACATTTTTATACATATTTTATAAATTTTGAGTAGAAACCATAATTTTGTTTATGTTGATTGTTAGCTGAATAGTACTATTTGTTTCTTTCCAAAAATTAATGGGAAAACGTTTTTCATTAGAATGTTATTGCAGATTATTTAAAGGTTACTCATTTCTGAAAAAGGGCCCTCATACACCCTAGCTTCAGTTAAAAAAAGTGGCCATAACTCGATTTCAGTACGGTAAAGTTTGTTTAAATTTTGCATACAGGTGTACTTTAAGGTATATATCTGACCTATGATATAATTTTTTCAGTTCCTTATAGTGCCCGTTAGGGTGGTAATACCTTAAAACAGGACCAATTTTACTTGACACATTATAGGGAATGCAGCTTCCCCATACATAGTTTGTACATTCTTTTAGTCAAATTAGACATATTCAGTTAAAATTTCATAGATTTCAATTCTGCAATTAAATTATTTTACTCAATGATGAGCATAGTATATCTTTAAAAATGGATACTGAAACTTGTAAAACTACTTATAAACTGTTCTATTTTGAAATTAAAGACTGTTATAAAGTTAAGAAGATAAATTGTTAAAGCTTCAAGCTTACAATATTAGCTTTTTTTGTGTTTTTACTTTTACAGGGAAAGTGAAGAGTGTAAATGAAAAGCTTGGTAGTTGGTTGATGGATGCTAGTTTGTATCAAGCTCCAAACCCGTACTCCTCAAACCCATTCAGGAAAGACCAGAAAAATATGGTGACAGAAATAGATGGTGCCCCTAGTAACAACTTCTTTACAATACTTAGCATTGGTATGAGCTACATCTTTACAGTATAGTAAAAATAATGTTTTTAAGTAGTAAATGCTACAGTAATTATGATTATTATGCCCCCACTATAGGGGGGGGCATTTAGATTTACCTTTGTCCGTCCACCCATCAGTCCGTCCGTTGCCTTTTTGTGTCGCACGTAGCTCAAAAAGTATACTCAACATCACTAATTCCGCGTCATCACTTATTTCAGGGTAATGACATATTTCTATGTTACCAGTATTAAAATTGGTCAGTATTGACATATTTTATTCAAACACCTAAACAACAAAGTTTTTGTGCAAAATAGTTTAAATCTATAGATTTTTACTTAAAACAGAACAACATTTTACAAATTTCTGCAAAAAGCAATTAGAGGCCATTAAATTTGTGCGTATGTCTGATACTATCGTCATTTTCAAAATGTTCTTGTTTGTTGAAAAAATAAATTTTGTGTTACAAAGTAAGGATAATTTTAATATTTAAAATAAAGCAAAATAACATGTAGAAATTTTAATTCTAACACTATCGGAATTTTTTCTGTATAGACAAAGAAGGCCGGAAGAGTGCATTATTCTACAACAATGCACTCGCCGTTCTTATTATCTCCCTGTGTATTTTCACATTGAAGGCGCCATTTTGTTTAAAAAATCTGATAAATTAAAACAATTTTTGTCGAATTTTGTTGTGAAAACTGTCTAGAATGAAAGAAAATGGTCTAACTAAGAAAATTAATCCAAACACCAATATCTTTAATTCAGTCGTTAACGCTGTACAGACGTTTAAAGTGTTGTTTACGTGACGTCATAATGTAGCGCCAAACAGCACGTGCAAAACAATCAAATCAAGTACGCTATTTTAATGTCGCAAACGAGTTTAGTTTTACATTTATTTCACTTTTAATAATTTGTATTTCGCTTGGAAAATTATAAACTGAAATAAATAAACAAACAAAGTTGTATAAACGTTTTCAAAATTCGTTATTTTCAAAATGTTTCTACACACGGTTCATTTAACGACAGTTTTTTCAACCCACTGGAACGGCCTTTAAAGAACGTTTCTATTGGAAACTCTGAGGAGAAAACAAATTCAACCACCAAACATAAAGTCCAACGTTATAATAATAATTATATTTTTTCTTGACGTGTTAGAATGGAAATAGATATCAATTCTTCGTGAATTATTGTATAATAATGCACGTTTTTCGTTCAAATGCTTTGTAATTAATCACTCAGGCCTATCGGCCTTCGTGATTATATTACTACGCATTTGAACTCAAACCGTGCATTATTCTACAACAATGCACTCAGAATTGATATCTATTTCCTAACTGAAACATGAAAAAAAAAATGTAACACCATTACCGCGATTTTAATGATGACATACTGTTTTTAAAATGGCCGACATATGGTCTGCGTTTGGTCCATTAAAATTTATTTTGACTGAATATATTGTTGTTTCCTTGTGCCATACAGTAGAAAATACCTTTATGTTGTAGCTTATGACAATTTTTGTAGCATAAGATTCATTTATTGTTTTCTCCCTGGTTTCAAAGCGTTAAGTACCGTGAACTAAGAGGAGCTCAGTATAATTGACCTAGAGTCATGAAACCTTACAGGAATGTTGATCAGCATGTGAAGTTGTGCACTTGGGTATTTTCATGTGGATATATTTAGTATTTTTATAGTTATCGCCTTGACTTAATAAAAATTTGCAATTTTCAACTTGTGTCGCACGTAACTCAAAAAATATTTGACCTAGAGTCATGAAACCTTACAGGAATGTTGATTAGCATGTGTAGTTGTGCACCAGGGTATCTTTATGTGGATATATTAAGTATTTTTAGTGTAATTGTCCTTGACTTAGTAAAATTTACAATATTTAACTTGTGTTGCACGTAACTCAAAAAGTTTATGACCTGTAGGCCTCAAAGTTTACAAGAGTGTTGGTCAGCATGTGTACTTATGCACCTTGGGGTTTTCTTGTGGATTTATTCAGTATTTGTAGTATTTGCCCTTTACTTAATAAAAGATTTTTAGTTTTCAACTTGGGCACATGTAGCCAAAAAAATTATTTGACCTAGAGACATAAGATTGACAAATCGGTGGAGTGTGGGGGCACCCATGTCCTATGGACACATTTCTAGTTGACTTTGTCACAGATTCTAAAATAATAGATTTTGGTTTATGGAATGTACAATTGTGAATAGTTTAGATGAATATTAGTACTTTTACTGTATACAGGTCAATACTACACGGATGACCAGTTGGCCAACATATTTTGTTATTCTATGCTATATCAATGGATTAAGCACAGCTATGATGCCCTGTCAAGCCAGGAAACAGATGTGTTAGAGGAAGGGATCCAGTCTGAGCTGGAAGTTAGTGGAGGATTTGAGCCATCTCAGCCATGGTTGATTGATTCTATGTCAAATAAAAGTTCAAGGTCGACCACACCTACAAAACGTCCTGTATCTATGCCAGCTGCAGTTGGATGGGTGTCTAGTCCGAAGACTATATCCGAGGTGAATATTGAATTCAGTGATATTGATAAATTATAGCATTACTCTAATACTTTTTTGACTGCGAAGACATACATTGTAATAATGAAAGTTTTATAATTATTTTTGCTGTTTATTATTTGCCTCCTACCAGAAAGCTATAAAATTGTTGTATCTTATAACAAATAATTTTCTAGTTTGATCTCATCTTAATTGTTGTAGAAATCAAATTTGTTGTATAATCAAACATGAGAAATATGAAAGTGGAAGGAGATAGCACAAAATTTTCATTTAGAATACTTGTTTAAAAAGCTACATGCCTCTTGATCAGCAAAGAATTTCAAAACAATCAGCTTTGAGAGAAAAATTTACTTACATTTTAAGAAAGTAAAACTAGTCACTATTTAAGTAATGTATAATTTACATGTTATATGCAATGAATGACTGATTTTGAGGGAAAGGCTATTTTCTCATATTTTGACCTTTATTTTGTAATTTATGTGGATTGAGAGTGACATTTGCAATGTGTAAATTACCTTCTTTGTTCATTTGACAATATTTTACTTTTTAATACATTTTCAAAATTGTCATGAAAATTAGCATAAATCTGGAGGCATGCTGCTTTAAGTCATTTATCATGGTGTCAGATTTTCTGTTTACTTTAGAAACAAGCTTTACAGAGGATGTCTTCAGCTGGCCAGGTGAAACAATCTTCATGGGTACCAAGGGCTACAACTCCTTCCAGTCAGTCATCAAGGGAGTCAACTCCGACAGGATCATTAAGTTCATTGACATCTGCTGGTCAGGCAGTAGGCCTTACCAGTCCAGAAATAGAACAAAGGGAGAAAACATTAACAGATTCATTAAGATCATCTACATCAGAGTTATCTGGTTCTGTTTCTCCAACAAAACCTCAAAGATCACTCACACCATCATCAGTTTTGAGAGCTTTTTCACCAGCATCTGTATTGGAAGAGAACAGTTCTGGGCAAGAGAGATCCAATGTAATAAAAAAAGTTTATGAGTCATTGGTTGGAAGAACAATAGATTATTGTTTCCGATTACTAGACCAGTGTGATCGCAGTAAGTTTATCATGCTTTGATGTTTAATTCAATTTTGGTTTTTTGCTTTGAATCACTCACTGCTAAATTTTTTAAAACTTCTGGGTTTTTTTCTTCATGGACATATGCCACAGTTTCATATAGGAAGAATGAAAACTTGAAAAAAGAAGGCAAATAAAATGTTAATGGTATCATTTTCCAAAATCATGTTATCCTACATGTTGCCAATGTTAATATGTAACTATAGTGTACCCATTGTTTTTATGCCACCGCAGCATCTGCGATGCGGTGGCATATAGCGATTCACCTGTGTGTATGTGTGTGTGTTTGTTTGTTTGTGTGTGTGTGTGTTATATAGATTATATAGTGAACTTAAAAAATCTTCTTGTGAAAAACCACTAGTCCAATTTCAACCAAACTTGGCAGGATTGATCCTTGGGTGAAGGGGTTCCAAACTTGTTCAAAGAATTTCATTCCATGCAGAAATCTGGTTGCCATGGCAACCAAAAGGAATTAAAAGAATAAATTTAAAAAATCTTCTTGTAAAGACCCAAAAGGCCTAGAGCTTAGATATTTTGCATAAGGCATTGTCTGGTAGACCTCTACCAAGATTGTTCAAATTATAGCCCTGGGGTAAAATCTGCCCCGCCCCGGGGGTCATTGATTTTCACTATATGTACATATAGTAAAAACTTAAAATACCTTCTTGTAAAGACTGAAAAGGCCTAGAGCTTAGATATTTTGCATAAGGCATTGTCTGGTAGACCTCTACCAAGATTGTTCAAATTATAGCCCTGGGGTCAAAATTGGCCCGGCCCCGGGGGTCATTGATTTTCACCATATGTACATATAGTAAAAACTTAAAATACCTTCTTGTAAAGACCCAAAAGGCCTAGAGCTTAGATATTTTGCATAAGGCATTGTCTGGTAGACCTCTACCAAGATTGTTCAAATTATAGCCCTGGGGTCAAAATCAGCCTGCCCGGGGGTCATTGATTTTCACTATATGTACATATAGTAAAAACTTAAAATACCTTTTTGTAAAGACCCAAAAGGCCTAGAGCTTAGATATTTTGCATAAGGCATTGTCTGGTAGACCCTTACCAAGATTGTTCAAATTATAGCCCTGGGGTCAAAATCGGCCCCGCCCAGGGGGTCATTGGTTTTCCTTATATGTATATAGTAAAACTTATAGTAAAAACTTAAAAAAAAATTCTTCTAGCAATTGACAAATGCTATAGGTTAGATAATTTTGCATGAAACATTGTGAAGTGAACTTCTAGCAAGATTGTTGTTGAATTATAGCCCTGGTGTCAAAATTGCCCCCGCCCAGGGGTCATTGATTTTAAATATATATATATAGTAAAAAATCTTATTGTCTGAAGGTACAAGGCTTAGAGCTTTAATATTTGTTAAATAATATCATCTAAAGGTACTCTACCAAAGTTGTTCAAATTTTGCCTCTTTTGTCAAAATTAGCCCCGCCCCGGGGGCCATAGGTTTTCCTTATTAGCTCACCTGTCACAAAGTGACAGGGTGAGCTTTTGTGATCGCTTTTCGTCCGTCCGTCCGTCCCTAAACTTTTGCTTTAAATGACATCTCCTCATAAACCACTGAGCCAATTTCATCCAAACTTCACAGGAATGTTCCTTTGGTGGTCACCTTTAAAAATTGTTCAAAGAATTTAATTCCATGCAGAACTCTGGTTGCCATGGCAACCGAAAGAAAAATCTTTAAATATCTTCTTTTAAACAACCCTAAGAGGTATAGCTTAGATATTTGGCATGAAACATCTTCTAGTGAGTGTCTACCAAGTTTGTTCAAATAAAAGCCCTGGGGTCAAAATTGGCCCCACCCCAGGGGGTCATTGATTTTTCCTATATGCATATAGTAAAACCTTAAAAAATCTTCTTTTAAAGAACCCAAAGAGCTAGAGCTAAGATATTTGGCTTGAAACATCTTCTAGTGAGTGTCTACCAAGTTTGTTCAAATAAAAGCCCTGGGGTCAAAATTGGCCCCGCCCCAGGGGGTCATTGATTTTCCCTATATGCATATAGTAAAACCTTAAAAAATCTTCTTTTAAAGAACCCGAAGAGCTAGAGCTAAGATATTTGGCATGAAACATCTTCTAGTGAGTGTCTACCAAGTTTGTTCAAATAAAAGCCCTGGGGTCAAAATTGGCCCCAACCCGGGGGGTCATTGATTTTCCCTATATGCATATAGTAAAAACTTAAAAAATCTTCTTTTAAAGAACCGTAAGAGCTAGAGTTTAGATATTTGGCATGAAACATCTTCTAGTGAGTGTCTACCAAGTTTGTTCAAATAAAAGCCCTGGGGTCAAAATTGGCCCCACCCCAGGGGGTCATTGATTTCCCTATATGCATATAGTAAAAACTTAAAAAATCTTCTTTGAAAAAACCCAAATAGCTAGAGTTTAGATATTAAGCATGAAACATCTTTAAGTAAATATCTACAAAGTTTGTTCAAATAAAAGCCCGGGGGTCAAAATAGGCCCTGTCCCAGGGGTGTCATTGTTTTTAACTATATGTGTATAGTAAAAACTTTAAAAATCTTCTTTTAAAAAACCCAATGAGCTAGAACTTAGATGTTTAGCATGAAACATCTTCTTATGGGTGTCTACCAAGTCTGTTCAAATAAATTACCTTGGGTAAAAATTGGCCCGGGGGTGGGGGGGGGGGGGCTATATACAGGTGAGCGACCTCAGGGCCATCATGGCCCTCTTGTATGTATATAGTAAAATCTTAAAAAAAATCATCTTCTTTTAAATTTACAAAAGACTAGAGTTAAGACATTTGCATGAAACATTATGTAGTGAACCTCTAGCAAAATTGTACAAATTATAGCCCTGGGATCAAAAAATTGGCCCCACCCCCAGGGGTCATTGATTTTCACTATGTACATAGAGTAAAAAAATAAAAAATATTTTTTTGTCTGAAGGTACAAGGGCATAGAGCTTTGATGTTTGCTATATAATATCATCTATAGGTCCTCTACTAAAGTTGTTCAAATTTTTCCCCTGGTGTCAAAATTGGCCCTGCCCGGGGGCAGTGATTCTCATTATGTACACATAATAAAAACAGAAAATAAAACAAATGTTTTCTGAATGGGAGAAAGCTACAGCTTAGATATTTGACTTGAAATGTTGTTTGGTGGACCTGTATCAAGATTGTTTTAAATTAAACCCTTGGGTCCAAAATTTTGCCTTGCCCAAGGGGACAGTGACCTACTTTCTTGTCCTTTGATGTACAGCAATGAAATTTTGACCATGTGCACAGTTTTAGTTGTAAAATTGAACTTTGATATCAGGTGACCTAGATTTTGTTGATGTGACCTACTTTCTGGTCCTTTGATGTACAGCTATGAAATTTGAACCATGTGCACAGATTAAGATGTAAAGTGAACTTTGATTTCAGCTGACCTAGATTTTGACAAAGTGTCTTACTGTGTTGTCCTTTTGATGTAGTTATGAAATTTAGGCTGTGTGAAATATGACCTTCACCACCAAATTCACTAGACTGGAGTGCATTGATATATTCCTACTCTGATCTTTTATTGAGTTAACAACAGATTTAACCAGTAACCACTTATCTGATAATAAGAATAAGTTAGGTCAGGGATCTATGCTTTATGACAATCTTCAAAATTGTATAGAAACAAAAAAATCTGTTCCTACACTACTATTTAGTGTTGTATTAATGCGGTGGCATAGCATTTTTCTCAAATGCAATCTTGTTTGTCTATAACATTTCAACGTAAGCATTTGTTCTTCATTCATATCTGTATATTAAAAACTAAATCTTTCTTTACAGAACCAAAAGTTCCTACAGATGCAGAGTTACAGAATGCAGTAAGTATATAGTTCTTACCAGAAAATAAAATTTAACTAATTTGGTCTGCGCAGTGACTGTATGTATTACCTGTATTCTTAATGTAGCGCATCACACTGAATAAAGGCAACATCTATACATGTATCTCACACAGTATCCTGTGTATGTAGGTAGCTTAATAAAAGTACTGTATGTGTAGAAATATTTGCGGGCTTCAAATTTTTGCAATCTTCGTGGTGACATTCAATATGCAAATTCATGTTTAGCGTGAATATTTCTACACCAATAATTTCGAAATAGTCATATTTTCGCGCTTCTATAGATAAATGTAACCTGTTTTTCAAGTTTTTCATAAGTTAAAATTGTTTATGTTAGTGTTATTTGTATTGATTGTTTAGAACAAACAAAATATTATCTGATAGGATGTCAAGACGTTTATGATGCAAACTTTGAAAAATCATACACATTTACAGGCATTCTTTTCTTTGCCGTAATCTGTCCGCTAGACGATGTCTTTGTTCTGTACAATAGCATATCATTTAACACCAGGTATTGAAAATAACTGTGAACTCCAAAGATGATTATGGTAATTTCCCTTATTTTTTAACCTGAGCGGTCTATGCGAATTTATGATTGTTGTCATTCACCTCCCCGAATTCAAAATAGCGCCAATATTTGTATAGACCCCCTAAATGAACCTTTCCGTGAAAATTTGCTTCTGCAAATTCAAATACACATACAGGAACTCTATAGTTCTCCGGCATGACAATTTATGTCATAAAATTTCATTTATGTATTTTGATGGGATTTTAAAAGTTTGCATTCTATCTGATATTTCTATTAATTTGATTTCTGTTTTATTGGGCATTTAAAAAACTATAATCCAGTTTCTTAACCTTAAATATTGATTGTTAATTTATTACTACTTTGGACTGTTCATGCTGATTATATCACACACCCTTTACCCTTATGTCTGTTTGGTTTAAACATATTGATTTAAGCTTGATTACGAAACAAGTTCTTGCAATTTATATTAATCACTTTTTAGTCTGCTTCCTGGAACCGACCAGTACCGACGTCGTCCGTCTGTTGTCCGTTCGTAAACTTTTACTTTAAATGACATCTCCTCATAAACCGCTAAGCCAATTTCATCCAAACTTCACAGGATTGCTCCTTTGGTGGTCACCTTTAAAAATTGTTCAAAGAATTTAATTCCATGCAGAACTCTGGTTGCCATGGCAACCGACAGAAAAAACTTTAAATATCTTTTTTTTTTTAAACCCAAAGGGCTAAAGCTTAGATATTTGGCATGAAACATCTTCAAGTGAGTGTCTACCAAGTTTGTTCAAATAAAAGCCCTGGGGTCAAAATTGGCCCCGCCCCAGGGGGTCATTGATTTTCCCAATATGCATATAGTAAAAACTTAAAAAATCTTCTTTTAAAGAACTCAAAGAGCTAGAGCTAAGATATTTAGCATGAAACATATTCTAATGGGTGTCTACCAAGTTTGTTCAAATAAAAGCCCTGGGGTTTAAACTGGCCTCGCTCCGGGGGCCTATATACAGGTGAGCGACCTCAGGGCCATCATGGCCCTCTTGTTTAAACAATTATAATAATTTTGGTATCAAATGAAAGATAACTTCATAAGCTTTTTATGGAATCCTCACCAATGAAAAGCATTTTACAGAACACCACCTCTAACTTTGTTGATGTCATGATATTTGCGTGCAAAATGGCCTTGCCATGATGGATCTCACATTCAGTGAAAATGGTTTAAAATAAAAGATTTTTTTTTTTACTGATGGATGGGAATTTTTTCCAGAAACAGGGGAAAGGATATAATTTTTGGAAATGGGCATATGGTCGAATTGTTATGTTATGTAAACACTGTTGAATGGTAATATAACATTACATTGTATAAGTAAAGGCTATCAGATAGTAACAAGTCACACATCATGACAAGATCTCAATTTTATTTACTCATGTTATAAATTTTGGTTTAACACTAACTAGGCAAAATGCTGAACTATTGAAAAAAAAAAAAAGAAGAAAAAAAGGAATAAACTGTAATAGCAGGAAATTTAAACAGCTCATAACATGTACAATTTTCTATATAAAAATAAGGCAATTTAATTTATTCATACAATGATTTAGGTATTAAATTTTGGTATGTCACTAACTTGGCAAAAAGTGTTACTATTTAAAAGGAAAATGAAAGGAATAAACTGTAATATCAGGAAATGTATACAGCTCATTTCATGTTCAATTTTGTGTATAAAAATACAGGCATAAAATACTTTTTAGCTCACCTGAGGACAATGTCCTATTTTAACCTAGTGTCACATTGAAATCTGTCACACATTCCCACAATGTCTTTTTATTTGCCACTATGAAGTATTTGTTATGCCACTATGCCATATTTGTTGAATAAGTTTTACCATGGCTTTTATCCATCAAGATTTTCGTTTTGGTGAAGTCACATAATTATTGACAAATATTGCCTTACTCATGCACACACCTTATACTGATACAGTTTTTCTAAATGGTTGTGTTTGAAAGCATTTCAATTGAATGTCAATTATGTGTGATTAAAGTAAGTGTTGGAATATTGCTGTTAAAGATTATATAGCAATATGAGAAATTGCAGTTTATGAGACTGAAATTGATGTAGTATTTTATTCAAGTGACACACTAAAAACCTTTATTTTACTACTTTCATTCATTCCCACAAATAATCTCTTCGTATTCTGGCAGTATGCAATACTTGTTGGTGTATCTATGCCATGACTTTTATCTAGTATTTTCACTTTGGTGAGGTCACATGATAATTGATGGACATTGTTAGAGTCACGACCACACACATAAACTGATCCATATTCATCAACAGCAAGTTGGTGAGGAAATTTCAGTTGATCATCTTTGTATATGGATTTCAACATTCCATCAAAGTTCAAACAGGTCACACTGTATCTTCCACAATCAGAAACATATATCATAGTATTGTCAGGACTGACAGTCAAGTAATGAGGAAAGGTAGACCGATTTTGATCATTGTCATCTTTGTCAAATAATTTCACTATTTTACCTGACATACTTAAAATCTCTAAACTACCTGTATACCTGTATGAAACAACAAGATGGTTATTACTGTAAGCAATACCAAAACAACGACCATGTCCTGGTATCTCAGTGGTATCTAAAACTTCCATTTCCTCAGAAAATGTAATCAGTCTGATCTTTTCTTCATATGGAAATGTTACAGCAATTTTATTATCTGAAACCTTTGCTATTCCCCAAGGAGAAATGTTAAATTTTGTTTCTTTTATATATTCTGCCTTTGACTTTTCAAGCCTAAATATGACTAGACTACACCTTTTATAACTTAATGCAAGAAGTGTATGTTCAGATAGCACAAGTAAAGAAGTTATACTTGCAAACTCATGATTGATATCACAATTAAAGGTAATCTTTCTCTCTTCAGCTGATGCATGCACTTTATCTAATGAGAAAAACCTTGTTTGATTCTCTAAAGATTTTACTTTTGGTGGAATGTCAGATATGTTGAGTTTGTATTGCTGTATGTAGGAATGTTGAATTTGGTTAGTGGTGACTTGAATTTGTTTACACATTTGTTTCACTAACTTCAGTTTTATAAATAGTTCACAGTTTTTACCTAATTTCTGAGCCTGCTCTAGATCAACAGTAAGAGCCTTCAAATTTCCAACCAAATACAAATGTTCAGACTTGACTTTTTTAAAATCAGTGTTTGTCTTAACAACCTCTTCTTTCATATTGGATTCAGCTTTTCCTACTTTTTCTTCAAACTTTCTTCCCTTTTCAGATAACATTTGAACTAGTTCTGACCTTTCTTTCTTCAACTTAGCAATGGTATCTTCCATTTTCTTATCAAAATTATCAATTAGATCTTGATGATGTTGTTTGTAAGTTGATATCAGCTTGTTGCTTTGCTCTTTACATGCATAAGTTGCATTTTCCTCTTGTTTCTTAATCACTTCACATTTGGCATCCAACAACTTTTCTGTGTCTTTTATATTCTTAGACAATTGATCCATATTTTTGCTAAAGTTTCTTAGTTCATCACTCTTTTGTATGTCTGAAGCAACAGTTGGTAAATGGCTAACATCACTGCAGTTGACATGCTCATTATCCTTGCATTCTTTGCAGGCTTCTTTGCTACACTCAGAGCAAAAAAACTTGACCAGCTGTCCAGGATGAGTGGAACATTTCTCAAAATAAAAATCCTGTGGCATACTGTTACTGTCTTGGATTTTGTGAGTTTTAAATTGTCTTTTATGATATCTTTGACAGGTCACACATATATAATCTACACAATCTACACAGAAAGCTACAGCTGTAGCATAACCATCACCATGTCTGTCACATTCCTCACAATACATTTCTTTAATTTCATCAGAGTCTTGTGTTAGTGATCCACTGAAATTTGCAGCCATTTTGTAATTTTTTGTCTGTGTAATTCACTTGAACAAATAAACACTTAGTTTTGAGATTTATTGTTAATTTTTAAAAATTGTATTGCATGAAAATAAAAATGCTTTCATTTTCATTCTTAACTAAGTTCATTTAGCAAAGCAGTCTCGGTTAAAACAAGTGAAATGTTTAAACTGTTTTGAAATTCAATACTGAATAATCTGATTACAGCATGAATTTATATCAGTGTATCAGGTGTTTTATATTACAATGACTTAACTTAATAAGTTTAAAGAATCAGATACAGCATTTTTGTCTTTCATAATTTATGCTTGATAAGAAGGAATTTATGGTGTCGTGTCATTTACTGATAAGATTTAAATCAGTTTAATAAAGTTTTCTAACTTGACACACGTGGGGCAGAGGTTAAAAGCTAAGATTTCAGAATAATAGCCGGTGATTCCGTCGGCGTCTAAATTTTGTTCAACGTATACAGATATATTTACGCTTCAAACCTAAAATAGTATATAAAATTGATAAGGAAATTCATGTTGAGACTTTTACAAATGTCATTTTAGCGTGATTTTAGTACATAAAATAATTTTAATATTTTTGTCATTAATTTGCCTAAGTATCCCTTTAAAAGTTCTATTTTATTGTGAAAAAAATATGATATTACTTGTAAGAATTTTTTTTCTTCTCCTTTTGTAAAATTATTTCAGGATTCGTTCAAATGATCCTGATTATATGCTGGATATTAAACAAAATTTAATGTATGCCAAATAAATTATTTATATGTTATGTTTTAGAGGTTTACTTTTTATTAGCTCACCTTGCACAAAGTGCAGGTGAGCTTTTAGGATGGCCAACCAAATGGCGTCCGTCGTCCGTCGTCCGTCTACATTTTAAATATTCTAAGGACATCTTATATGATACCTCAAGGCCAATGTTAATGAAACTTGGCAGGAATACTCTTTGTATGAAGCTCTATCAAGATTGTTCAAAGAATTCCATTTCATGCAGAACTCTGGTTGCCATGGTAACCGAAAGAAAAATCTTTAAATATCTTCTTTTAAAGACCCGTAAGAGCTAGAGCTTAGATATTTGGCATGAAACATCCTCTAATGAGTGTCTACAAAGTTTGTTCAAATAAAAGCCCTAGGGTCAAAATTGGCCCCGCCCCAGGGGGTCATTGATTTTCCCTATATGCATATAGTAAAAACTTAAAAATCTTCTTTTAAAGAATTGTAAAATCTAGAGCTTAGATATTTGGCATGAAACATCTTCTAGTGAATGTCTACCAAGTTTGTTCAAATAAAAGCCCTGGGGTCAAAATTGGCCCCGCCCCAGGGGGTCATTGATTTTCCCTATATGCATATAGTAAAAACTTAAAAAATCTTCTTTTAAAGAACCCAAAGAGCTAGAGCTAAGATATTTAGCATGAAACATCTTCTAATGAGTGTCTACCAAGTTTGTTCAAATAAAAGCCCTGAGGTCAAAATTGGCCCTGCCCCAGGGGGTCATAGATTTTCCCTATATGCATATAGTAAAAACTTAAAAAATCTTCTTTTAAAGAACCCAAAGAGCTAGAGCTAAGATATTTGACATGAAATATCTTCTAATGAGTGTCTACCAAGTTTGTTCAAATAAAAGCCCTGGGGTCAAAATTGGCCCCGCCCCGGGGGGTCATTGATTTTCCCTATATGCATATAGTAAAAACTTAAAAAATCTTCTTTTAAAGAACCGTAAGAGCTAGAGCTTAGATATTTGGCATGAAACATCTTCTAGTGAATGTCTACCAAGTTTGTTCAAATAAAAGCCCTGGGGTCAAAATTGGCCCCGTCCCAGGGGGTCATAGATTTTCCCTATATGCATATAGTAAAAACTTAAAAAATCTTCTTTTAAAGAACCCAAAGAGCTAGAGCTAAGATATTTAGCATGAAACATCTTCTAATGAGTGTCTACCAAGTTTGTTCAAATAAAAGCCCTGGGGTCAAAATTGGCCCCGCCCCAGGGGGTCATTGATTTTCCCTATATGCATATAGTAAAAACTTAAAAAATCTTCTTTTAAAGAACTCAAAGAGCTAGAGCTAAGATATTTAGCATCCAACATGTTCTAATGGGTGTCTACCAAGTATGTTCAAATAAAAGCCCTGGGGTCAAAACTGGCCCAGCCCCGGGGGGTCATTGATTTTCCTTATATGTGTATAGCAAAAACTTAAAAATCTTCTTTGAAAAAACCCAAATAGCTTGAGTTTAGATATTATACATGAAACATCTTTAAGTAAATATCTACAAAGTTTGTTCAAATAAAAGCCCGGGGATCAAAACTGGCCCTGCCCCAGGGGTGTCATTGTTTTTAACTATATGTGTATAGTAAAAACTTAAAAAATCTTCTTTTAAAAAACCCAATGAGCTAGAACTTAGATGTTTAGCATGAAACATCTTCTTATGTGTGTCTACCAAGTCTGTTCAAATAAAAGCCCTTGGGTAAAAATTGGCCGGGGGGGGGGGGGGGGGGGGGGGGGCTATATACAGGTGAGCGACCTCAGGGCCATCATGGCCCTCTTGTTTTGTGATGGCCCATTGACCGTCGTCCATCATCCGTCCGTGCGTCCGTCTGAGCAAACATTTTGGGTTTAGGGGCTATGTAACAGTAAAGAGAACAAAAGAGAACAATAGGTTCATTCCGTGATCAAAGGGTTTATGGGCTAGTAGCCCTTAAGATAACAAAGAAAATAACAAAGAAAATAGCCCCTAAACCCAAAATGTTGGAACGTCCGTGTGTCCATGCGTTAACAACTTCTCCTCCTAAACCCCTCGCCAAATTTGTTTAAACTTTGCAGGGATGTTTCTTGCATGATGCTCTACCAAACATGTTCAAGGAATTAAATTCTATGAAGAACTCTGGTTGCCATGGCAACCGAAAGATTTTTTTTACAAAAATCTTAAAAATTCTCTAGGGTCAAAATTGACCCCGCTCCAGGAGGTCATTGATTAAATACCTTATATGTAAATATTAAAACCCTGAAAAATCTTCTTGTGACAATCCAAAAGCACTGTAGATAAGATATTTGGCATGAAACATCTTCTAGTGGATGTCTACCAAGTTTGTTCAAATAAATGCCCTACAGTCAAAAATGGCCGCACTCCAGGGGTCATTGATATTCCTTATATGTATAGAAAAATTTAAAAGAATCTTCTTGTGACAATCCAAAAGAGCTAGAAATTAGATATTTGGCATAAAAAAATCTGCTGGTTGATGGCTACCAAGTTTGTTCTAATAAAATTCTTAGGGTCAAAATTGGCCCCGCCTCAGGGATCACTGATTTTCTTTATATGTATATAGTCAAAACTTAAACAACTTCTTGTGAAAATCAAAAAAAGGTAAAGCTTAGATATTTGGCATGAAACATCTTCTAGTGGATGTCGACCAAGTTTGTTCAAATAATTGCCCTAGGATCAAAATTGAACTGGCCCAGGGGTCATTGATTTTCTTTATATGTATAGTAAAAACTAAAAAAAAAAATCTTTAAGTTCAAATAAAAGCCATGGGGTCAAAATTGACCGCGCCCTAGGGGTCATATATTTTCCTTATATATACACATATATTGTAAAAACTTAAAAAATCTTCTTGTGAAAATCCTAAATACCTAGCTTAGATATTTGGCATGAAACATGTTCTAGTGTATGTCTACCCTGTTTGTTGAAATAAAATCTCAGGGTCAAAATTGCTCGGCCCAGGGGATCGAGGCCGACAGTTCAATCCCCAACCAGGTCAAATGGTTGTTTTCCCTCTCTTTTTCTGTCATCTTTTTATTAGCTCACCTCTCACTGTGTGACATGCTAAACTGTTTAATAAAATGGCTGCCAGAGTTAAAATTAGAAAACAACAACATCTAAACAACATATTAACAACTGGTTCAGTTCTGAAATTATTTTAAACAAAAATTTTTTCGTGACAGTGTACACATTTTTTTCAGATTAAGCTGTCCCTTGTTTTCAAGTTGCGCTTTTAGGGTAAAAAGAGGCTACACTTTGACCTTTTAACCTATATCTCAGGTGAGCAATCCAGGGTCCTCTGGGTCCTCTTGTTTTATTTTAACTATAAACTCATGTTTTTGTTTTTAATGATTTGTTTATAACTTTATAAATATTCTTACAGTGTCTGTTGGAGACAGTTAAGTTACTGGACCTGATATGTAAGATAGATAAAGGACAGGTTCCAAAGACATTCCGGGAGCTGAAGAGACTGGTTACCATGACAACACATGATAATAACAATCCCAGGCTCCTTATTGTCATTCTACATTTTCTTCTAAATCACAGTAAGTTAACTGAAAGATTATCCTGTATTTTAACAGTTTCACTGCAATTACTTTAATTATAATTATAAGAGTAAGTTTGGAAAATAAAATAAAAAAAGATGTAAAAAGGTAAGTACTTGTTCAGAATCCTGTATTAACTTGTTAGTTCACTAGATGCCAGTTTTATGGAGGAAACAGTTTTACAAACTGGCATGCAACGCAAAATGAAAAAGGAAAGAATTTTTCATGGCACGCAACACAAAACAAAAAAGTAATGAATTTTTCATGCTTGATTTTTTGCTTTAAATATATTGATTACTTGTATTTTTGATGATGATGATGGTTAACCCATTGTTATGAAATGTTTTCTTTCTTCAGGTAAAGCTGTGGCATATGATCCTAGTGAAGAATTAAAGGTGCTCTTTCATCGTGTTCTAGCCCATAATCTAACCTCTGTCAGTGTGTGTTTTGACATTGTCATGTTTATTCTGGATAACCTCGAGACACTTACACATGAACACAACATTATGGCAACCTATTTTCCAAACATGTTTAAGGTATATTTATTTGCTTAAGATGCTGTTGTTGTTATAAGTAAAAGTAGTACGGCTAGTAATAACTTTATTTTATGATAAAATACCATACAAATAGAGTTTAATTTTCTGTATGGTGAAATAAATTTAAGATCTGTGTAATTTAATGTTTAAATTTGTTATCCAGTAGTTTTGCTGTAAGTGAGAGATTAATTATTGACAAAATTAACAGAAAAAAATATTGATAAAAAGTTATCTGTAGAATATCTTATGTGAACAAAATATATTGAATATACCTTTCGAAGTTTTTATTTTATTGTACAGTTTGTAATTATTTTTTGCTATAACTTTGCATTTTCTTACCACCTTTTTGATGGTCCTCTGTGAATCGGTTTTGTTAAGGGTTGCATTCTGTGAATGTCACTCTCCTTTGTTGTTGATATTTTCAGCTGTTAGCATGGCATCCTCACACATTTGTGTCTGATTTTGATGACATTGTACCAGCGATGATGTCACAAGTGACATCACTGGAAGTCTTCCATGCACTCATTGACCTTCCATGTATGACTGTCTCCTTGGACATTATGGAAAAGACAAAACACATGGATTTTACAACAGTTGCTGCTGTCACTGAGCAGGAACCAACAAGAGCAATGGATGCATTTAAGAACGCAATGTTTCGTCCAATGTTTAATTTCTTTACTCGAGCAGAAGGAGGCCATGGTGATACTATCAATAGGTAATTCATTTGTCCATGCTCTAATTTATCCTCCACCCATCTCTCATCTTTTGTATATTGGTAATAAAAGTTGGCACTGCCTTTGATTTTCTTTGGTTGGCACTGGGGTGAGAAAGGCTATAGGTCCTCCAAATTAGTTCAACTGTATCATTTAACTTTTGTTTGAAATGTCTAATTATACCCCCGAAACGAAGTTTGGGGGGTATATAGGAGTCACCCAGTGGTCCGTCAGTCTGTCGGTCGGTCGAGCGGTCCGTTGCATTTTCCTTGTCCGGAGCATAAATTGAAGAATTCAACTTGGTTGGAATTCAATATAACTTCATACAATGGTCAAGCACATCGAGAGGAAGTGCAGTGCACAAGAACCATAACTCCATCTTGACTAATTACAGAGTTATTGCCCTTTGTTACTTTTCCTTGTCCGGAGCATAACTTGAAAACTACTGGTTGGAATTCAAAACAACTTCATACAATTGTCAAGCACAATAAGGGTAAGTGCAGTACACAAGAACCATAACTCTATCTAAAGTAATTACAGAGTAATTGCCCTTTGTTACTTTTCCATTGCTTTCTTTTGTCCGGACCATAACTTGAAGACTTATAGTTGGAATTCAATATAACTTCATACAATGGTCAAGCACATTGAGAGGAAGTGCAGTGCACAAGAACCATAACTCCATCTTGACTAATTACAGAGTTACTGCCCTTTGTTACTTTTCCTTGTCCGGAGCATAACTTGAAAACTACTGGTTGGAATTCAAAACAATTTCATACAATGGTCAAGCATAATAAGGGGAAGTGCAGGGCACAAGAACCATAACTCCATCTTGACTAATTACAGAGGTATTGCCCTTTGTTACTTTTCCTTTGCTTTTTTTGTCCAGAACTAATGGTTGGAATTCAGTACATGTATAACTTCATACAATGGTTAAGCACATTAAGAGGAAGTGCAGTGCACAAGAACCATAACTCCATCTTGACTTATTACAGAGTTATTGCCCTTTGTTACTTTTCCTTGTCCGGAGCATAACTTGAAAACTACTGGTTGGAATTCAATACAACTTCATACAGTTGTCAAGCACATTAAGAGGAAGTGCAGTGCACAAGAACCATAACTCCATTTTGACAAATTACAGAGTTATTGCCCTTTGATACTTTTCCTTGTACGGAGCATAACTTAAAACATACTGGTTGGAATTCAAAACAACTTCATACAATGGTCAAGCACAATAAGAGGAAGTGCAGTGCACAAGAACTATAACTCTGTCCAGAGTAATTATAGAGTTATTGCCCTTTGTTACTTTTCCATTGCTTTTTTCTTGTCCAGAGCATAACTTGAAAACTGGTAGTTGGAATTCAATACTATTTCATACAATGGTCAAGTATATTGAGAGGAAAGGCAGTGCACAGAAACCATAACTCTTTCTTGACTCATTTAAAAGTTTTTGCCCTTTGTTACTTTTTATAGTCCAGTGCATAACTGGTAAAATTAATGGTTAGAATTCAATGAAACTTTATACAATGGTCAAGGGCAGTGAGATGAAGTGCAGTGCACAAGAACCATAACTCTATTTGGACTAATTACAGTTATTGCCCTTTGTTACTTTTTTGTCCAGTGCATAACTTGAAAACTAGTAGTATGAATTTAATACAACTTCATACAATGGTCAAGCACAATGAGAGGAAGTGCAGTGTACAATAACCATAACTCCACCCTCAGTATTTTTCAGAGTTATTGCCCTTTGTTCCTTTTCCTTGTCTTTCTGGACTTATTACAGAGTTATTCAATAAAACTTCATCAATGGCCAACGACATTGAAATGAAGTGCAACATACAAGAACCACAACTATCTTTAATTGCCCACAACCATAACTTTTACAAGGTATTCTGTTACTAGTAACATCCTCATTTCCAAAGCAATCTTGCGGGGGTATTAATCACATTTAGTGATAGTTCTAGTTTATCTCTTTTTAACTTAAATTATTACACACTGGTGCAGGAAATTTACATTTATATCTACTTTTCAATAAAGTGGATTTACAAAATGGAAAATTTCTTGCATTTGTTTTATGAATATAATTTTATTTTTGGGCTTATCTGTGTGTTAACCTTTTTTACTATTGGAGCAAAATTATTGTCTTTTGATCATGAAAATATACTTTTTATATACAAAGAAATGAAGTTTCATGCACTTTTTGGACCTGTCACATTGATGGTGAAAAATGCCAATATAAATACCATAACGTACATTTTCCCCCCATCAAGAAGCAAAAAAAAAAGAAAAGTAATATCAACTTGCAATGAAATTGGACATACAGTTGGCCATATTTATGATAATGTTCTTTTTTTTGTAAAATAATATTGTTGATTAAAGCATGCATGAGATTATAAAAAATGCTTGTCATGTTTAGGGTAATATGGGTTCTTTATACCACATGTGCTAAACATGTGTTGAATTTCAAGTCAATAGAAAAATCCAGTTTTGTTTTAGCCCCCTAAATCCAGCTGAAAATGCAGTTTTTGTCCATTTCAGTTATCAAATGTATAGAACAGATCTGTTTTAAAATTGTTCAAAGATATAATAAATATTTGTATGAAATTTCTGACTGGTTTTTACATTTACCAATCATTGTGTGTTTTTTTAGACTGGACCAGTTTCATACAGGTATACAGGATATGATGGAACATCCTAGAGTCCTAGTGTGTTACCAAGTTGTTCCAGTTCTTCTACGGTCAGTCATCTATAGTTATTTTATATATTACAAAAATATTTATTCATGTCTAAACAAATCTTTGTTTTGTTTATTTTATTTTTCAACAAAAATGGAATTGATAAGTTTGTCATGATTATGCCCTTCATCAGTACTTAATCATGAGAGGAGGGGTGGGAGGGGGGTTTATTGTTTATGTCTTGACATCTTAATCATAACAGCTTGACAGAGCCTTGATACCTCAGTTAACAGTTACCCTCAAGCTAGACATTCCGGGTGTAATGGCAGGCATTGTAAGATCATTATAGTCTGTGCAAGAAAGCCAATTGGCTTAGTATCCAAATACCATGGAAATGGAATATACCATTGTGTATGATTGACATAATAAAATGCATTTTGTTACAATAATATACTTTAAACAGGTGTTGGTTTGATGTTATATATGAGGAAGGGGACCAGGAATTTGTACAGGAATTGGTTCCAGTTCTAATAGAGAGGACAGGGTTATTGTATGGCATTCCAGAGTACCAGAATGATGTAAAAAGGTACAGTTTTATGTCAGTTTTTATATCACTACCATTGATAGTAATGAACAGTTATGATGTGTCCTCAAGCTTAGCTTAATAGGGAAAGCGTCAGATTTGTAATCCAGGGCTATTTGTTTCATTCTTGGGGCAAGGTGTAATTTCTGACAAATAATCTCAGACATTGAGTCTTATGGCCATTTGTTATTCACCTCTGATTCAAAATCATTTGGGATTACTTGTTAGTCACTTGTGAAGAAATTATAAGTTACTAGTCAAGGAAAGCTGGTCAGGGGGATTGACCGCAGAGATATGGCCTTAATGTTTAAAAAAAAATCAAAACACTAGTGATATTGATACTTTGGCAAATTCAAGAATTGTAATAGCTGACAACTTATAAATATGCTAGTGGCAATGATTAATTTGTATATCTAAATCACAGTTCGTGTACTGATGTCATTGTGCTCAAATAACTGATATTTCTAGGATAAGATGTTTAGCTTTTTTCTCTCTCACTGTTGCCTGCATTTGATATTTTGTAATCATTTGATTTTATGTAGAACTGTTCAATTATTGATTTATTACATTATTTTTTTGTTTGTTTCTAGGATTATATCAGAGAATATTATATTACTGCTAAAGAAATATCCACAAGTTGTGTTTGAACAAAAGTCTGAGATAATTGAATACCTATCTAGTACAAGGAATATTGATGGCAGGGAAAACTTCTTCTCTCAACTGGTAAGGTATCAATTTATTATCTCCAAAAGTCACAGGTTAACATTATTTTTTATGTGTGACCATGTACAATGTACATGGATACTTACAGAGAATTCAAATCTAGAGTAAATTTTGGAAAATGTTTTATTTATTTTCTTTGTCATTATTTTGTGAGGAAGATTAAGTCAAGCTTTAATACATTATTTATCTTCCATGCATAGATTATCTTCCATGCATAGTTTATCTTCCATACACTGATTATCTTCCGTACATAGTTTACTTTCCATACATAGTTGATCTTCCATACATAGATTATCTCTCATTCATAAATTCAAAGCTTTGGCATTTTTCAAATATTTGAAAAGTTTTCTTTGTTGGAATTTATGTCTCAGCAACACTTCATATGGCAACTGTTCAGCCTTATTGGTGAATGAAGACCTCAGATGCCTCTCTGTGCATTATTTCCCATATGAGTCATACCTTAGTTAAACTACTCACACAAATAATGTGATCATATCATGTAATAACAGTTATATGCCATTCAAAAAGTATCACTATTGCCTTGAGAAATGTTGTAACTGGCTAGACATCTTTATTAACAGTTTTGTAGTGTCACAAGTGTATAACAAGCACAGATTGTTTACAGGTATGGGCAGTTGGCGAGTACACATCTACGACCTATAGTTCTAACTGTGGTGCTGATACAGTGCGACAGATGTATGAGATGCTTGAACTACTAACCTATGAAGTGATCAGTATCACTGGGTCTGTACCAGCCTCACAAGCTCCGTATACTGTCAAACTGGTGTCAACACTGATGTCAGCTATGTCAAAGGTATGGTAAAATAAAAACTTGGATCCAAGTTATCCTTTATTGTAAAATGTTGATTCACCTTTCTTTGTGTTTAAATAAAGAATAGGTAATTGCAGAGATATTTTTATTAGAAAGAAGAACATTGATAAACAGTCATGTCAGTTCTCGTCTACTCTCTACAATACTTATATGAATCATGGTTGTAATGTCAATAATGGCCCAGCACAAGTGTGACCAAATGGATTTTGAAGATTTATGACCTTTTTAGCTCACCTGTCACTTTGTGACAGGGTGAGCTTTTGTGATCGCTTTTCGTCCGGCATCCGTCCGTCCGGCGTCCGGCCGTCCGTCCTCTGTAAACTTTTACTTTAAATGACATCTCCTCATAAACCACTAAGCCAATTTCATCCAAACTTCACAGAAATGTTCCTTTGGTGGTCACCTTTGAAAATTGTTCAAAGAATTTAATTCCATGCAGAACTCTGGTTGCCATGGCAACCAAAAGAAAAAACTTAAAATATCTTCTCCTAAAAAACCCAGAGCTAGAGCTAGATATTTGGCATGAAACATCTTCTAGTGAGTGTCTACCAAGTTTGTTCAAATAAAAGCCCTGGGGTCAAAATTGGCCCCGCCCCAGGGGTCATTGATTTTCCCTATATGTATATAGTAAAAACTTAAAAAATCTTCTTTTAAAGAACCCAAAGAGCTAGAGCTAAGATATTTAGCATGAAACATCTTCTAATGGGTGTCTACCAAGTTTGTTCAAATAAAAGCCCTGGGGTCAAAATTGGCTCCGCCCCAGGGGGTCATTGATTTTTCCTATATGCATATAGTAAAAACTTAAAAATCTTCTTTTAAAGAACCCAAAGAGCTAGAGCTAAGATATTTAGCATGAAACATGTTCTAATGGATGTCTACCAAGTTTGTTCAAATAAGAGCCCTGGGGTCAAAATTGGCCCCGCCCCAGGGGGTCATTGATTTTCCCTATATGAATATAGTAAAAACTTAAAAATCTTCTTTTAAAGAACCCAAAGAGCTAGAGCTAAGATATTTAGCATGAAACATGTTCTAATGGATGTCTACCAAGTTTGTTCAAATAAGAGCCCTGGGGTCAAAATTGGCCCCGCCCCAGGGGGTCATTGATTTTCCCTATATGAATATAGTAAAAACTTAAAAATCTTCTTTTAAAGAACCCAAAGAGCTAGAGCTAAGATATTTAGCATGAAACATGTTCTAATGGATGTCTACCAAGTTTGTTCAAATAAGAGCCCTGGGGTCAAAATTGGCCCCGCCCCGGGGGACATTGATTTTCCTTATATGTGTATAGCAAAAACTTAAAAATCTTCTTCGAAAAAACCCGAATAGCTAGAGTGTAGATATTAAGCATGAAACATCTTCTAGTAAGTGTCTACAAAGATTGTTCAAATAAAAGCCCTGGGGTCAAAACTGGCCCTGCCCCAGGGGTGTCATTGTTTTTAAATATATGTGTAAAGAAAAAACTTAAAAAATCTTCTTTTAAAAAACCCAACGAGCTAGACCTTAGATGTTTAGCATGAAACATCTTCTAATGGGTGTCTACCAAGTTTGTTCAAATAAAAGCCCTGGGGTTTAAACTGGCCCCGCTCCGGGGGCCTATATACAGGTGAGCGACTTCAGGGCCATCATGGCCCTCTTGTTTAACAATTTATCTCAGGTGAGCAATATAAGGCATTTTCGACTGTCTTGTTTGTATTAACAGTATGCAAGTAAATGCCAGTATTTAAATTTTTTTGTCTCATATTTCCAGTTAGCAAGTAGATGCCAGGATCTGATTCCTCGTGCCATATTGTGTTTGACAAAGGTAGCTAAGCAACATAAAGCAGATGTTTTAGAGAAAGTGGAACGGGAAATACTCCTGACAAGAGCTCAAGAACTTATAAACTTGTTAAAACTTCCAAAGTAAGCCTTATATTTAGATGCATGTAAATACCAGTTTGTAGGAAATAAAGTTTCCATTGGTCTATTTTAATTCTTAGTTTAAACAATATTCTATTTCACTCAAACATATATCACAATATAATTACGATCAAAGTTTATGGATTCTTGTTAGTTGAATTATACAATATGAAATGTACAGAAGCATATTAAAGGCAGGATCAATGTTAAAGAGAAATTTATGTAGACCACACAATTTTCCAAATAGATTTAATGACTTTTTCAAGGGAACATTCAGTCACTTTCCTGTCATGGTGAAAAACTTCCATATTTTAATAAAGCCTGGGGTGAATATCTCTTTTTTATGAGGCCTAGCCTTAAGGTAGTCTTACTGTTATGCTTTCCTGCCAAAAATTTCTAACGTAGACCAATATCATAATAAATCTGTCATTTCCGGAACATATTTTTTTCTTGATCTTTGGTATTCAATAGTTTTTAACCATTCATAACCAGAATTTAGTACATAGTGATAAAGAATGAGTGATTGTAAATAATCTCATGCCCAAGATTTCGAAAAATTAAATGTTCTGGAAAAAACCAATTTGCTACAATATTGGCAGATGTTAGAATTATTTTGGCGGGAAAGCATTACAGTAAGACTACCTTAATGAATTCCTGAACAGGCCTTGAGGTTTCATGGATATTGCCTAGTAGTATCTTTGAAGTTAAAATACTTAATTAGTTCTTTAAGTTCTCTTTTCACAATTGTTACTTAATTCTCATTGAAACATTCTATTCTTACTTTATTTCAGTTTTGCATCTATAATATTAAATCCACCTCAGGGATTGGAAACCAGCAGGTAAATTGGTTTTTATTCCAGATAAACTGTATTTATTGTTCATTGTGATTTTACCTCTGTCATTTCTTAAGCTTTATATTTTAAAGCAGCTTACCTCCAGAATCATGCTAATTTTCATAAAAATTTGAAAATGAATTACACAGTGAAATATTGTGATGTGAACAAAACATTTTTTTCACATACAACCCATGTCAATTACTAAAATTGGTCAAAATATGCAAAAATAGTCTTTTCTGGTTTAGTCAGTCGATAGAAATATGTGAAAAATACTGCATGCAAAATCGGTCATAAATGCATAATTCAAGGAAATTATTACTTCTTATCTATCTTGAATCTTTTTACTTCTCTTAAAAGCTCAGTACTATTTTTTTTTTCACGTTTGATTCTCTTGAAATATTTTGGTTCACAGCAAGATTGATTTTTTAACATTAAATTTAATATTTTTCAGGTGTCATCGCGACCGATCATCTATGTCAACTATCTTACGTGCAACACATAGAATGGTAGCACCGACACTGTGATTTCTACTAGAAACAGGCAAATGATGTCCCTACAACAAATGATGGAGAATTATAAAAAAAAAAACCTTGTCTGAAACATGACACTGACTTATCATAAGACAATCTGGAGAATAATTTTGTCAATAAATTTCAACAGCTCTTGCTAAATAGACAGGTGATTGTATGGCCAGTTATATGTTATTGGTACATCATTTACAAGATCCTGTCATACATGTAGTTTAGAATTACATATCTTAATTTTAAGAACAATTTGTCAAAAAAAAAAAATATCACATACATTTGAAAATCAAGTTGCAAGGTTTTCTAAAAAAAATTAAACCTGATGAAATTTGAAAATCCGGTTTATGATTAAGGGCATGTGCAATTAATATAAGATATAAATATTATGTAGTATTTTATATACAATATTTATGAATTTACATACATGCATTCATGAATAAAATTACTGTTAGAAAAGTGATATAGTCTTTAATCATTTTATCCATTTACTAAACACTGTTGTATAAAAAATTGATACACTTGTTTAAAGTGATGTGAATTTTTTTCAAAAAATAAATAACTGTCCGAAGAAATAGAATACCTCATACAGTGAACCTTTATTTTGATTATGGATAGAGAGAGTGCAGTGGTCAAGTGATAAGTTACATATTAAGTCAAGGACTTGCAAGCTCAAGCCCTGTTTCTCTATGAATGTCTTCTGGAGTGAGTTGCAAATTAAAATGAGCTGTGTCACGACAAAACCAACATAATGGGTTTGCGACCAGCATGGATCCAGACCAGCTTTCGCATCCGCGCAGTCTGATCAGGATCCATGCTGTTCGCTTAACAACTCTATTACAAGTAGAGAAACTGATAGCGAACAGCATGGATCCTGATCAGGCTGGTCTGAATCCATGCTGGTCGCAAACCCATTATGTTGGTTTTGTTGTGACGCAGCTCAAATGTAGATTTCTGGTGGCAAATACAATCATTAGGAACTGTATATCCCACTCAACTGTATAAGAGCATTTAAGATATTTAGTGCGAGGTAAAAACTTTTTTTTTGGTTTGGTTTACATTGCACCAACATGGCAGAGGTCTTGCAGTGACTTTCCAGCTTTACTGGTGCCCCTCCATGCAATATTTCAGACACAAGTTGGCACCGGAGTAGAACCACAGACTTTCAGTTATGTAGCTGGACAGCTTCCTTACATGGAACCAGCATAGCTGGATTTGAATATAGTTGTCAGGGGCAAGTGGTTTGAAGTCAAAGACTTTATCTACTCGGCCAAAGATGCCCAGAGAAAAAACCATATGATGAACATTATGTTTAACCAAAATGATTATCCAGTTTATCAAGGAAAGGTTTAAATGGAAATCAATAAACAACAACATAATTATCTTCAGAATAAATATAATTTGTTCATAACCATTATGATAGATATCCATTCATTCAATAACATGTGTACAATTTAGAGTGGTATAATATAACTCGTATATACTTCACATTTAAAACCTGTACAATGACAAAAGATGTAAGTATGATTACTACTTCCCTGTATGTCAAAAATTCTAAAATTTTCAGCAAAGTAGATAAATGACACGTCACCTAAATTTATTTATAAAGCAATTTGAAATCCTTTTCTCCTCTGAAAACATATTTGATTCTTTACATGTAAACATGATGAAAAAAGCATTTAGTTATACAATAACCTGCACATTTTGCATACATCAACAAAGCAAATGAGTCCAAGGCAAAGTTTACCAACAACAATGTACATTTAAATATTCTGCAGGATTCTGCATAACATGCATTCATCACTTAAAACAACCTTAAATTCTATTTGTACCATCAGTGACATTTTTTCTTTACCAGTTGTAAATTTATGACATAATGTTCAATTTTTTCTCAAAGATATTGTGCCAGTTGTACAAAAAAGGTTACAATTTTTTTTAATAGGTTATATGGCCATGATAAGCGGTTGTTTGCTATATATTCATTGTTTAAGGGTTCAGGTTATATAAGCTTACACTTGCATATAGTAGGCCATATAACCTAAAATGTTAATCAGTGACAAAATACAAGTGTATTTACCTTAATTAATAATTAAATGATAGGTTATATGGCCATGATAAATGGCTGTTTGCTATATAACCATTGTGGGTTCAGATTATACAAGCTTACAATTGTTTATACTGGGTCATATAACCAAAAATCTTAATCAGCAACATCAGCTAAATGAGAAGAATAGCACTTTGCACAATAGAGACAATAAATATGTGTTTAAAGTTTAAATTAATATAATTAAACAAGTTACACATAATGTAACATAATTAACTTAAATCATGATAGCATGCTTACTGAATATAATTATCAAATCATTAAAAAGGCGGGGACAAAATAATTTATGGATTTCAAAATTATTTCATTTAACATATGATATTACAAGTATTAAAATTATTATTTGCTTTATAGTCTAGACAGATGGAATAGGACACCAAGAAAAAAAAAGCCAAAAGAAAAGAAGTTAAAACTATATGAGCCGCGTCATGACAAAACCAACATAGTGGGTTGCGACCAGCATGGATCCAGACCAGCCTGCGCATCCGCGCAGTCTGATCAGGATCCATGCTGTTCGCCTTCATACCGTATTACAAGTAGAGGAACTGAAAGTGAACAGCATGGATCCTGATCAGACTGCACGGATGCGCAGGCTGGTCTGGATCCATGCTGGTCGCAAACCCATTATGTTGGTTTTGTTGTGACGCGGCTCATATGTTTCTCACACAGCTACATATTTATAGAATCAATAGAAAGAGGAGTTAGTATAACCTGCCTATTGCACACCCCAACATCTAATCTAACACCATAAAAATATTGTGGCTAACATTATATATACAATTAACACCCCTTAATTTATACCAACTATAAAAATAAACAAATACAGTACAAGATAGTGTCATCATTCTGTCACCTAAGTGCAGTAAAACTCCTATTACATTTATATATCTGTAGTGCCTAAAGACTTTATTTTCAAACCATGTCACTTGCAATAATACAATTTACCATATAGAATGTGATGTAGGTAAGTGACTGTGTCGAAAGCCATAGAATGTCCCAGTTATTAACACATTTGATACATCATGAGAACGGTTGAGAGAAAAATTTGCCTAGAAGTGTAATGATGATAATATAGGACATTGAAAACTAATGAGCTCTGATTCAGTTAGTATCTCCTATGTACATTTAAGAATCTGGAAACGAAGTCTCTATACAAACTACTGCAAACAAACTTTTAGTCCATGAAGTTGAGAAAAACTCTTTGTCCATGAATAGGAGAAAAGATCTTCATTCATGAAGTGGATAACTAGCCTGACAGCTATTATGCAAGGTTTGCTCAAGAAATTAAGCCGCGTCATGACAAAACCAACATTATGGGTTTGCAACCAGCATGGATCCAGACCAGCCTGCGCATCTGCACAGTCTGATCAGGATCCATGCTGTTCGCTATCAGTTTCTCTACTTGTTATAGGGTCTGTAAGGGAACAGCATGGGTCCTGATCAGACTGCGCTCAATTATGACTATAAAATATTTCCAATATATATAAAAAATATAAATTAATTTCATAAGGGTTTATAAAAAATTAAAGAAAAATATTCATAATTTAAGAAAGCTTTCCTTATCTTACTGAATGATTAATTGTCCAATTTTAAATGAATGAAATTAATCATGAATTATTGATGGTATTAAATAAGTAAACCTTTATTTAGTGGAGATTAAGCTTGGTAGAGAAGGTAAAATATTGAAGACAACATGACCCTGTTAAGAAATGATATGATAAAAGATAATATTTGTTACAGAGTATTATCTGTGGTGTATAACTGTTGAGCCTGCTGGCAGCAAATGATTCTACCCTTACAACCAATGTACACAAATTCAGCCTGCACCTCTGTGCCGTCTCATCATGGTCTCGGTTGTTTTTTTCAAATTATCCCTAAAATGAATGGTTTGGTCGAGACTGACAGATGGTCAAGTTCATATAAGATATTTATCATGGTCAAGGTTAATATGTAAAGCAGTGCAATGTAAACCACAGGCAATTAAATATAACACAATTAACTATACACAGTAACAAGAAAAGTAGAAGTATAAATAATGATTCAAATATACAAAGAAATGGAACAAAATTTGTACAAACATGAAAAGAGTGAGGACAGGAAAGAAAGCTATAGTTTAGATAATATATTACTGAAATATGAACAATATAATGGGAGATTTCTGCTCAAAATGACTGCTTTATTATGACAACATGGAATAACCTGAATGGTGATGATTAGAACTTTATTTTGTGTACCAAAGCAATGTACAAGCAGCTATACACATTTCTTAAACCATTAATTAATTTCTTATCTTAAAATGACCCTTGTGCCACATTGTTCATTGAATCATTCAAGACATTCATTCATACCCCTGGAAAATTATTTTTTCACTCATTCAGAATAAATATGGTACAAACAAAATGAACCATGTACTTTAACGCCGACATACCATTATTGAACAGATGTCAGACAGCTTAATTAAAAATCTGTATAGAATAGATTAAAAATCATAAAATGATCAACATTTTTTAATACATGTATTAAATGAAAGTCAACAATTTTTCCTCTTTGTCAATAATAATTTATAATACCTACTGAATTTATCCCTTTCCAGTACCTATTAGTGTTATTCACTATTAAGTTACTTGAAGTGGAGAAACAAGTTTCAACAAGTGTTGTTAAAAACCTACACCATCTTTTTTTAAACTAATAATAAAAATATATGTCAGCATTCACGAGTTACTGTTGTGTATAACTGTAATATTTACAGGGCTGCCAGCATCAGTTGAACTTTTTGTCAGGGGTTATTATGGTGGGTAGGCACTCTTGATCAGCAATCTAATTGGCTCAGCTAGCAATCCTGAGTAAACTACAATTAACCAATAATATAGGAATTACAACTTCTTTGACTTTTGAACTAAGCCTGCAAATGTTAACAACTCAAGTACATTGTACCTACATTCCATTGTTTTGTCAATCTACAGTGTTACATTGGTACAGACCAATAAGGGCAAAATATATGCTCACGCTCCCCTGAAGTGGTAGCATAAAAAGTGTATTTTCTTTATCAAACAAAAGCCATCTTTTTGACATGGTCATGTGGTAACATGATATGTATAGATTTCTGTACAATATACAGAGCTCAAGTTGTAAGCTGTGAACCTAACTCTCTACCAAAGCTCATTAGCTCAGCTCTATATATTTTGATTACAGCATGACTTAGGAAACAATTTTCAGAGGTAGAATCTAGCCAAGACCACTACAGCAGACAATGATTTTTATTCTTTAATTTTCACTACATAACCTGAAGCCATAAATGATCTGATAACATACTGTATCAGCGGATATTTATGCGTGTCGGAAAGTTGGCAAATTTAAAATTCAGAACATTTCGCATGAGGAAATATAAGCAAATCATGCAAAGGTAGGATTTAGAGACAAATTAGTTGATATAATTATTTATCTTAGAGGTAATTTAGATTTTTTGTCAGTAAGCGAAATTAGCCAATATTTCAACATTTCCGAGTCACTAAATTAGTCACGTATACAGTAGCTCCCAAGAAATAATTGACCTTTTTCAACATGTGTAACTGTTGAGAAAAATTGCAGCTAAATTAGCAGATAATACTGTTTGGAATGCAGGATGTTTCCTGTATAATAGACTGGATCTAATGATTCAGATAAGCAAAATAAAACTTCATTATACAGCACTCTCCCTCAACTTTTCAAGTTTGACAAAAAACTGCATCTCTTATATACAATACAATTACATTTAAAGCAAAAAGAATCAAATTTACATGCATACATCTGACATTTGTGTAAGACTGTTCAACAACAGATAATATGATAAATACTTTATTTTAAAGAAGTAATGTTATTACCTCTTGTGGCAAAAATGTCATACAACTTTGAAAATAATGTGTTTATTTTATCAAATTTTAAAAATTTATGAACAAACAAAACAATGACAGGCCTTAAAGTTCTAATCAATAACTTCAATTCATTATTTTTCAAGCTTTCATGTAGCACAAAGAATATTTCTGTTTTCAACACAGTCAATATGTTCATTTTGGAAGAAACCATAAAGAATTGGTTATTTATGTAAATGAAATTTAAAAGTTGTTAATTTCATTCCCCTTATCCTCAAATTTGACAAGCCCCTATTCTAGAAAAGGAAGTTAGACTAAATATTACTCCCAAATGAAAATTGCAATACTTTTTACCTCCAAAATGGAGAGCTACACTTAAGTTAACTCCAAAATTATAGAGTTGCTGTATTTCAACCTTCAAATTTGAAGAATAAACTTTTTTATATATCCACAAATTTTGTGTAAAATCCTGTCAAACCATGTCCAAATAACATCCTTTTCAGCACAAGCATATTTTATAATCCCTTTTCATTGCATGACCATACCCCACCCCTATGGTTTTCCATGAAAAATTCAAATTTCTATGTACTTCATATACAATATCACAGCTCGTTTTTCTTCTTCTTTTTACACAATCTCCATTATCACATTGATAGTAACTTTAGAATATTGTAAATCCTGTTATTTATTTTATGTAAATCATGTGAAGTTCATCATTGTACTGTAAAAGTATCAATATCTCCAACATCAGTGTGAATTTCATTGCTTATTGAGTACGATATCTTGTATTTTAATCTGATCTTTTCCTGAAAAACAACAAATAAACACACGCATGAGCAATGAGACGAAGGGTAACATAGCTCAAATAAATAAAGGAAAATGAACAAGTGTATGTACTTTCAAGGCAAATGGTTCAATGTACTTGTTTAGTTGATACTTAATTACTTTAGTTTGATTGTGTTGGAATCTGTAAGCTTATTAAACAAATTCATTGCTGGAACCAACCAGTACTAAGCAATAGGTGTATAATTTCTTGTCAATGGAAACAATGCCTTGCCATTGATGGGGTTTGATCCCACATGGCAAGCAATCCTCAGATTACTAGTCTGACATGTTGACCATTTGGCCACGCTGTCACTCACATAATGTTCTTGAAATTAAGAAATTAAAGATTTCTATGAACCAAAATTCTGATAAACAGGAAAACAGACTTACTGCCCTTCTTTCATCAAAAGAAGACAGAAAAGTTATAAAACTTAAAGTAATTAAAATTTGCACCATTGTTAAAAACACTTGAAAAAAACATTGTTCAATACACTTGAACAGAATAAAGTGTCTAATTGACGCCTAAATTTTACATAAAATATTTAAGGAGTAATTAACAGTATAATTGGCCTTTCAAAAATACTTAGAAATTTAAGATTTACCTTTTGTGGATTAGCTATAAGCATAACTTGAGTGATGGCAGAAGGAGGGAGTATAGGGTTAAATGCTGGTAATTCCGTGGCTGATGGTGGTTGTAACTTTACCTTCATTACCTGTAACCAAAATAATGAAACATATTTTTTCTACAGTAATTTTTAGTCAACTTTTGTGATTTATATTAAAGTTATCATTAATTTTTTTCCACTTAAGGATTTTTCACGTTACTTTTTAATGAACTTCCAAATGATGAATTAACTCACAAAATTTAATTTAAAGGTGAATTTACTTGCAAGAACATTATAACAAAACAACTAAACATTATGCATTTTTACTAATGACATCCACTGCAAGTTTGTTTTTTCAATATAATTCAGAATTTAAAATTTTGACCGCCATCTTTATTCTGTGAATTGGTGTTACTCAGCAGACTTTTATAGATAGTTTCTTTTACAGCTGATGGAAGTCTGAGATTTCATTTAAAGGCTGATAACTCTGCCTTTTCAAAATATATTCCTAATGTTTAAACTTTCGTTTTTCAGCTGCGGCAAATGCAGTTGTCAAATTGTAACAACATCCTGTGGATGTGGCACCCTGTATCAGGTGTTTCCTTCTTTTGTTTTAGGAAAAAGCTAACTTCCAACATCAATCTAAACACTTGTTCTACACCAGGTGATAAAAATTTTCTTATATAGTTAACATACCTTTGGTACAGCAGCCTGGAATATGAAAGCTTTTACAGGTGACGTATTTGTACTGAGAACGGACACGACCATCACCACCACATCATCTCGAGGACGGTCCTTGGCAACCATTATTAAAGCTTTAAGTCCATTTTTATCATAAGCATTCACTGGTGGAGCAGTGCCTTAAATTATTATCAATATTTTCATCAATTTTATATTAATTTTCAGATTTCAGAGGTATTGTTTTAAAGCAACTTTATGGCTTTTACTAGTGAAGGAAGACCACATGTCTCTCTTTATCAAGTCTCTCTTCATACAGCATTTTAGTCAAATAAAGGCATGTGAGCCGTACCATAAAACATCTAGTCAGCCAGCTGGATAACTCCCTAATATGAAGGAATTCATAGTCTCCAGTTGGATTCAAACCAACAGTGGAAGGTGGCAAGTGACTTAAAGTTAAAACCAGTGATTTTCCTACTTATATAACAGACTCTGATAAAAAGGACTCTTTCCAATTGACATTTTCTTAAAAATCATTCAGTTTCCCCAAAAATCCGAACTTAAACCAGCTTTTTAACTTCCCAAATCAGCAATTTTAGCGATAAATTTTCCCAAAATCAAGAGGCTACAGCCTCTTCCCAATAAAGTGAGAAAAATCACTGTAAAACCCTTAGTCATACGGACACTAGGTCAGCTCTAGACTTACAAAGTGCAAAGAACTCGCACCTCATAAAATTATAACAAGTTGGTTTTATCTGAGAATTTACCACTAGGAAACTTTGATTTGATTATGCTATTTTGTTTTTCACATGGAATAATGTTATTAGAGGGACTCATGTCTATACTGCACCACAAATTAAACATTTCTATAATTATATACAAAACAAAGCTTTAAATTAACACATTAGTAATTCAACTATCATACAAACCTGGCTGTATAGTTTCTAATGGAACAAACACATCTGTAAGTGGTCTAACTTCTGATGATTTTGGTGTAGAGGGTGATGAACCAAGCAGAGTGGTGTCCCCTGATCCTGTAACCATGGAAACTGGAGGAGGATGGGTAGCCATAGCAACAGATGGTTGAGGTGATGATTGAATGGGTTGTACAGGTTGAATTGGGGCTGGTATACCACTCTGAGAAGAAGCCATTTGGTTTAAAGGGATTTTTCCGGGCTTCGGCCTGCAATTCAAAGAACTTCCTAACATAAGATATGAATGATAACCCTAATAAGTTAGCCATCCTAAATTTAATGCATTGTTTGGTATATGATCAAACATAGAATTAAAACAGATTTCCATATCATATTTCAGACATTTTATTGTTTTATGCAGAAACATAAAATAAGCTACGCTTTGTAAGTCGGAGCAAAATTCAATACAGTCGAACTTCGTTCGCTCGAACTTGGAGGGTCTGTGAAAATTTGTTCGAGAGAGCGGTAGTTCGAGCCAACCGAGGTTGAACTATTATTACATAGAACATATGTCTAAAGGTTTTCCAGCTTACATAGGTCAAATGATAAATACGTCAATATAATTGTTGTTAGAACATCTGTTTGTCAATTACGTCATATTAAGAATTATTATCCTATTGAAAACAACATTAACGGTACACTGTGTTAATCTATATTCATGCATATTGTAATTGGTTGAGTTCGATTGGGTGATCATTATCCAAACTGTGAACAATGTTCAAAATGTATTTACATGTCTACTGTGGAATTAATTTTATTTCAAACAATGAATTAATTAAATATAAAAAATATCATTTTACAGCAGCATATATTTGTAGTCATTTACTAAAATAAACACGTACAAGTATCATTCTATAAATAGATTACACTGACAATTCACGATACATGAACCACGGTTGTAATTAAAGCCGTCCGGGTAAACGTCATTTATTTATTGAATTTTGCGCATTTCAGGAGTTGCTTTCTTTTTATCGTTACTAAAGACGGCAAATATACAATTTTATCATAACAAACAAATTGGTTAAAACACCTTTTATTTTGAATCAATTAACCTTAATTGCCTTTGTCACGATCACGAGGTATTAAAAACATGTGTCAACGACTGTCAATTATTTAGAACCTGTCGACCCGCAACTTCTGTGTCTGTTTGTGTTCGACAGAACAGGTGTGATTTACACTATTTTTCTGCCGAAGGGACCAGAGATCATGTTCGAGAGTTTGAGCGATGGGTATTCGAGCGATCCGAGGTAGAACAATATATATTATATAGCAATTTTGCCGGGACTGGACGATGAGGTCGAGCGAAAGGAGGTATTCGAGCGATCCGAGTTCGAGCGAACGAAGTTTAACTGTATATTGTCAGAGTATTTTATTCCAATCTTAAACACAATAATTTATTCTGTAATAAAAAAACCTATTAAATGTTACATTCATTTCAGACAAAGAAAATTCTCATTTTTTTTATACTTACGTCTGATTGAATGAGTAGTTGGCCGTATTTTGTGTTAAATTTTGCTGCATAAGGGTCTTGCCTAGAACATCCAGGTCCTCCAATGCTTTCCCTTGCGACTCGGGTAGCTTCTGAGCTGGTTTCATATCAAATACTGATCCTGTAACTATAAAATATTCCTATTAAACCTTAACTTCGTTTGTTTTGTTTTGATTGGGTTTTACGTCACATCGACACAGTATAGGTCATATCGCGACTTTCCAGCTTTACTGGTTGAGGAAGACCTCAGGTGCCCTTCCAGGCATTATTTCAGGCACGAACGGGCACCTGAGTAGAACCACCGACGTTCCGTAAGCTAGCTGGATAGCTTCCTCACATAATAGAATCCAAAGTCCCTGTTGGGATTCGAACCCACAGCGGTGAAAAACCTTTACTTTGCTGATAGCGAAAAAGTTATGGACTGAACACAAAATATACCCTGTAACAGACTATGTTAATCTTTGACCTCCAACTGTGACCTTGACCTTGGAGGTATGCGACTGGTTAAGGAGCATGACACAACGTTTTATTATTGTGAAAATTTGTGCCAAATAATTTTAAAATTTCTTGATCTATGAAAAAGTTACGGACCGAACACAAAATATACCCTGTAACAGACTATGTTAATCTTTGACCTTTAACTGTTACCTTGATGGCAGGTGACTGGTTTTTGTGCATGACACATTGTCTCATTATTGTGAACATTTGTGCCAAGTATTTTCAAATTCCTTCCCGGTAAGAAAGTTATCGAACGCACACGACATATACCATCAAATAGACAATGTTGACCTTTAATCACCAAGTGTGACCTTGACCTTGAAGGTAGGGGTCCTGTTTTTGTGCAAGACATAAAGTCTTATTATAACAAACATTTGTGCCAAGTTATTTCAAATTCCTTTGATAAATAACATAGTTATTGGCCGGACTCGAAAATGTGACAGAGGACAGGTGGACGGACGTCCGGCTGAAATGGAATAAGGGGCCATTTCTTTTGTTATTTTCTTTGGTTTAATAAAGGGCCAATGGCCTGGGAATCAAATCTCTTGTTAGCTTTTGTTCTGTTTACAGTTAAATGGCCCTCTATTCCTATTCCGTAGTGCAGACAGACGGATGGACAGACGGACAGAGGCTATTCCTATACCCCCCTTTTTTCTTCGAAAAGGAGTGGGACGACAAATACCTTTGCTTTGAATCAAACAACTAACCTTGAGTAGCTGGTATCTGAGAGGTTTGGGGTGGTAAAGATCTGACCATACCACTGACTTGAGGCTGCACAGATGGCTGACTGAACCCCATGGCTGGCTGACCTGGATTAAAGCCCATCTGACCAGCAGGTTGACTAAATCCCATACTACTTCCAGTAACTGGTGCTGACGCCATGCTAGTCATTTGTGACATTTGCTGATTCATTGCAAAAACATTGGATGGAAAAGCAGGGGTCTGAAAACCAATGAAATTATACATCATTTATCAAAATCAAGGTAGTTCCTTGCATCAATTAAGTGAATATTTGATCTGTGATGCTTTATGAAAGAAAACACATCTTAATAATCCGTCATGTGATCATTTTCTACTTTTGGTTTACATTGTAATTGCCATTTTGCAATATTCTAGCTTTTACTTTTTGAGCCCATGATCCTTCCAATGCACCACTACAGGAAGAACTTTTGGAAGAACAACTACCATTCTACAAAACTAGTGAAAATAGCTTATGCACCTCAAATGACTTGAAGCAACAGCATCCAAGCGAATGTGATTAATAATATATGTCATATGTTTGCGGTTCGGACTGGAATATCCGCCTGAGGGCATGTCCCCTCAGGACTGATATTCCGATCCGAAACTGCAAACATGTTAGATATTTTTTCTTGCAAAGTCTACCATATTCCATCATAAACATCAAAACTATTTTCCATGGAAATTCATGTCATTGCATCTGTAACTATTTTCTAATTGAATTACAACTACACTCAGAACAGCGAAATGACGCCATCCTTAGCATGCAGTATCATTCTCAAATACGACAAAATGACGTCATTTTGATGTGTTTCATTGATAAAATGTGCTAAAATGTCGCAATGGTATAGCACACCACTCATCTGGCACCCCCATGCCAGATGAAATTTCCGACAAGGGTAAAACTAACAGAAACACCATTTTGCAAGAATATAGTGATACTGACTTGACAGTCAAATATTTTCTATGTCAAGTGATGGTATCTCAAGACTGTCAATGGTAACTACACAGGGGTAAAATATAAGTAATAGAGGTTTCAAGTATTTTTTACCTGCTGCGATATAGAGGCTGCTGTTGAAGAAAAAATTTCATCAAGGTCAGAAAGAAGATTGTCTGCCTTGTTCCCAGCTTCTGCATTATTTTGGGTACCAGGTGTCGCAGGTGGGGACTTCAAACCTTCAGTAATTTATATACATGTATCTATTTATGTCAATATTACACAAAGCACCAAAAAAACTTATCCCATAACAGATTTTTAAAAAAACATGGAACGTTTAGGTGTAAATAAAAAATAATTACCTTTTTTCTATTTTGAATTGGTAAAAAAATGAAATGACTTCATAAAGTGACACAGTAATCCAATATAAAATCAGAATTAAATTTAAGCAATAAATCAATGTTTTAACACAAAATCATGATAATTTATGATCAACAAATAATACCACACAATATAATCAAACAAATAAGTCGTCAACTTCATGCAGTAACCGATCACAGACAATTGGGCTGTGGCGCTCCAAATACCTTAAAATCCAAATAATATTATTCTAGTCATTGAAATAAGAAATTTTTTCAAAACAGCTTAATATATTCAGTTTTTATATATATATATATGATAAATATTATGTGCTAGGATTCACAAATATATATTTTATTTGGATTTTAAGGCATTTGGAGCTCCACACCCCAAGTGTCTGTGTGACGGATTAACTCCTATTGAAATTTAAAAGGAGTTAACCCGTTAGTCGTTACTGTACTAAGATGACGATATATGAGCTGCGTCACGACAAAACCAACATAATGGGTTTGCGACCAGCATGGATCCAGACCAGCCTGCGCATCCGCGCAGTCTGATCAGGATCCATGCTGTTTGCTTACAGACCCTATAACAAGTAAAGAAACTGCTAGCGAACAGCATGGATCCTGATCAGACTGCGCGGATGCGCAGGCTGGTCTGGATCCATGCTGGTCGCAAACCCATTATGTTGGTTTTGTCATGACACCGCTCATATGTTACAGGTTTCAATAATATTTGCTGGAAAAAAAAAAGACCACCAAACTGCAGCATTTGATTTTTTTCATGTGAGCTGTTATAATTTGTTAGCAATTTTAGTAAGCCTCTTGTGTCATCCACACAATATCTTCATTTATGCAGATGTCCACCATATTTGCATTTCAATTGAACTTTTTTCAATTAATTTTTCATCAATGAACTGTTTTTAATGGGTTAAGTTAAGCAATTTAGCCTAATTTTTGTAAACAACAGGTCAGCGACACTTTAAATCAGAAATAGCTTTATGCAATTTGTCTATGTTAAAGGAAATCAAATTAAAAATTATTAAAGAACATGTTACAATATTTTTCCTGATTCTGGAGCATTTCACTTATTTTTCTTTCAATAAATTTTCACAACTGAATCATACTTTAAAGGAGGCTTTCACACTTAGTTACAAGTCCTACTTTAGGTATTTCTAAAAGGGGGATGTGCGACACTTTGTAATAAATGTAACAGAAAAGCAGTGCATAGAAATTTGTTTCATATATATGTAAACTACCCTGCTTTACACCAGTATTTTCATAACAACAGCATAAAAGTCACCAATATTTTAACAAAATAAATTCCCCATTTCTAATAAAATATGATACCAGAGTGCATGCATTTCCCAAAACCATTTAGAAACAGAGATAAAGTCAATTTGAAAAGTAAAAAACTAAATTATAGTATTACATCTTTCAAAGGTCATAGGTTAAAGGCTGATATGCTTGTAACTAGTCTTACAAAATGGATTTTTCAATGCCTTTTCAGTAGTATAAGAGCATAGGCTTTATCGAGTTATAGTTAGCTGCTGATAAAAATTTAAACAATTTAAACAGCTCACACAGAGTGACATAGGAGCCACAGTAGCTGTTTTAACGTTTAATTTTTTCTTATAAGCGTGTCCAACTAACTTAGTCATTGATCTTATTTTTGTAAGCATGTGTTGTATGTAACAAAATAGAAGTGACATTTAAATGAATGGTTAAATTAAAACTATTGCAGACAGATTTATCTGAAATAAACTATCTAAAATTTTCAAATATGATTAACTTTTGTAATATGTTCAAGATATGTGACATGTTTATCATTGATGTTTATGTATTAAGATGACATACTTATGTATAAAACTAATAAAATTTCTGTTCTGCTCTAAAATTTTCAAATATAGGCTTCCTAATTGGACCAAAATGTAGGACAAAGACTAAAACGGTAAAAGCTTGTGCATATACATTTGTATTAACAATTTTAAAAATATATGTAATTATACAAGCATAATTAAAGGTTAAACAAATACCCCTGGAATAAAAAAACACATCAAGTCAACACACATATTTAACAAACAGGAAAGTTACCTAGAGAAAGCATTTCATCATCTAGAAATGAGGAGGCAGTGCTGGCTGGCTGGTTATTGTTCAAGGTGCTAGGAGAGGGTTGGAACTGTTCCAGGTTCAAATCTACCAAAGAGCTACTGCCTGTTCAGAATCAACAAATATGCATATATAACTTATATGTGTAGCTCCTATGATAAAACCATCACCTTAGTGCAGTAACAAGCTAATTCCTGTTAAAATATATAAGAAGTTAACCAGTTACTGCATTACTGTAAGGTGATAATATATTTTGTAATGGGTAGATTTAAGCAATCTATTTAAAGGCATCGCAATACTGTTATGCTGAACCATTTTGAATGGGCTGACCCTGAAATTTCCAAATACTACAATTGCAAACCCTAATTTGATCCCTTTTTATGGGTTCAAGGAATATATTTTCCCTAAAAGGACAGTAAACATACCAATTTTTAAAAAAAAATACCATTTTCCCCCTCCTAATAAAATACATAAACCTCTGTGGAGTGACTGCAGGTACTTTTCTTTTCATTCCCTCTTATGGACTAAGGAAGCCCTTGTCTAAATGATTTATCATCAGGCGCATATGTTAAGTAGCTACTTTTAAGTTATTTAGGGAGTTATTTACTTTCTTTAAAATGGAAATGTACCAAATAATATAAGTCAAGTGTTCATGTAATTTGGATGGTAACATACATTTAAAATCCAGAAACAAGAGGCCCAGAAACAAACTGAATGTATAATATATACTTATTCCTTGGAGGCAAAATCCAGTTTTTAATCATGAAAAAAGAGTGTAAAGGTGAAGGACAGGGTAAGGTTTTATATGGTTATATATTGGTAAAATAAAAGTAATGCTTTATACAAGTATGCTGACATTGAAATATAATATATAGATTTATTTTGCTTAAAATTTACTAATAATTTCAACATTCAATTATTATATAATGAATAAATACATAGTTTCATACTTTATTTCCATTTTCTTTTTAAAAAAAATGCAATTTTGTTGTCTGGATATCATAATATATTGTTCGTTTAACAGCATTACTTTTATTTCAATAATCAAGAACAAATTCTCTATGGTTACACTAAGGATAATCCCCAACTAAAATAAAATGTGTTGACCAACTATATAAACATCATTCTTATACAGATTAAAATAAAAACAAAATAAAATAATATTTCTTCTCTTTAGTCAACAATTTTAACAAAACATTAGAAGTGTAAGTCCACACTGTTTTTCCCCCTATATCCTTTCAAAAGCTCATAATCTTACTTCATCATATACAACTTAGACATTTTCAAAACATGAAGTTGTTCATATGTTATAATACACATATGCACATGTAAAATGAAAATACATAATGTGACCATGTGATGATATTATATATTAATATCAAGCTCAATCTAATCCACAAATTATATAACCTTCAGGAAAACAAGACCAAGTTTGTTGCAGATCCATCCAATGAATCAGGAGAAAATGTTGAAAGGTTATTAACCACTTCTACATAGCCTTCATGGTCCATTAACAAGGTCAACCGGCACAATAAGCCCATTCAATTTAATGGCACATAGTTTTTAGGAGAAAACCTGACCTATTCATATAAGATCACAGTGGGAAAAGATTACTATTGGCGCCAGTCATACATAAATGCATTATGCCTATATTGACAAGTTAAAAATACAAAACTATGAATGTTAATTAGCAGCGTTATCCCGTTATTATTTTATTTAAAGCTTAACACCCCTCCAATTCAATTCAGGACTATATATTTGGGTTATAAATAAGCTTTCTAACAGGATTCTTTTGTAACATTATTGTTATTACCTTTCAAAAATTCCTCTGAAAAAACGAAATGACATATAACACACCTTCCACAATATAAGTTCTTAAAGACAATACAAATGTTATAAGATTTCAGTAATGTTACATGTAGTAGACATTGCAAAAACATTTCCACATGTCATCAACTGACATTTTTTCTTTTCCTGGTTATTTCTTGATTTCTCTATCCCTTAAGTTAACAGTTACAGTCAAGCCCATCCTAAATCTTAACTTTTTATATTCAAAAATAGTCAATGAACAAAGCTGCTGAAAAAAGACATTTCTTCAATTACACAGATATGTGGCTGTGCACATTCTGACTAAATGTAACAAAAGAAAATAATAATAATAAATAAGCCGTGTCATGACAAAACCAACATAATATGTTTGCGACCAGCATGGATCCAGACCAGCCTGCGCATCCGCGCAGTCTGATCAGGATCCATGCTGTTCACTTACAAACCCTATTACAAGTAGAGAAACTGATAGCGAACAGCATGGATCCTGATCAGACTGCGCGGATGCGCAGGCTGGTCTGGATCCATGCTGGTCGCAAACCCATTATGTTGGTTTTGTCATGACACGGCTCAAATAATTTAGACCTCAACCATTAAGCCATGGAGGCTGAAAGTATATAAAGCTTGCTAATGAATTTATTTCTCTAACATATATAACACTGATTGTGTATCTCCATAAAGCTTCATGCTTGTTGCTGATCTTAGATAAAGGTATACCCGTGAAAGTATTTACCTCTAGAATTTTCTGTCTGTCCATTCTCAGTGATACCTTCCACTATTTTCTTGTACTGGGACATAGTCAGGGATACTTCATCATTGGCTTTTAGAATGGTATCTGAATGAAACATGATAATACTCATAATGTAAACAATAAGTTAATATCTGAAGTACAAATAATATTACATAACCTGAAATACTGACACTTCAAGCCGTATCAACAAGTGATTTCATGTAAATGTAATTTCTGTTTATACACTAACATGATACTATAGAAAAACATATACTTAAAGTAAAATAATACCAACAAAAGATAAAAGAATTTTTTACATGAATATATAAACAAAACAAGTGACTCACAGAAATTTAATTTTATAATAAGTTATACTAATATTTACTTCAGAAGTTTGACATTTTAAATTAAAGCAAGTAAAAAAAATATATGCAGCAAACACTGTAGTTTTCAAATTATTTTACGATGTCATAAATACAAAGTTCAGTCGGATCATTATAGTTTAGAGCAAGTAATAATTTCAAACACTTACTAAGACCATCTGTGTCAGATTCCTCGGTCTCACTGGCCAGACGAAACAACTTGGGTCGTAACTTCTCCAATGATTCATACAACTCCTGAAATATCAATACCCATTATGTTAATCAAGATTATTTATTGATACATTCTTTACTGGCCTCTTTTTTTGAGTATGGTAGTGGTCTTTCACTCGGATCACGGCATTCAGCCATATTGAATTTACCAGAGCACAGTTCAGCTACTGCATCGTTCCTGGGCAGGCTGTCAAGCAGTTTACCTGTATTAGTTGCCTATAGGAACTGAAATTTCTGTACATGCCAGAGCAGAGGTTCAGTGTGAATGACCATAGAAAAGATTTCATCATCAATTACAATGAAAGTGACCAGCACCGTTTGGGAATCGAACCAGGGTTGCCCAATTCACAGTCCATCGCTTTATCTATTGAGCTAACCAGATGTTTATTTATGTATGTTGATATGCTAGTAATATTAGTCTTTATAGTCTTAGCAGGGAGGGAAATTTCTTAAATATTGCTAATAAGACTACAAACATATATTCTTAGCTCAAACTCACATCTCAGGTATTTGATTGGTCAGAAACCAGCACATAATGTATAATGACCAATGAACATCCAGAGATTTGAGATAGAATTCAGAACCTCAAGGTCTGCTTGGATGCATTTTGTGGAAACATATCAAAATTTTCTTTTCATACACTTAAAATTTTACCATTCACACTACATTATATCAAGTTAAAAGTTGAATGTCAAACATTCTAACAAAAATAACAGCATAGCTAAAGCTACTAGAAAAATATGTATTTTTAAAACAATTTGATATTTTGTAGCAATGTCAACTTTAGCCAATCTAGAAGTGCACAGTTAATCCTTACTTTATACCTGTAAGGATAATTTAGAAAATCCATATTTAAATTGAATTGAACGCTCAAAAACATTTAGTATTTAATTCATAGTTTACATTTGGCAAAAGGCGGAGGCTCAAAATTTCTTTGATATACAGAATGAAAAATTGAAGTTTTTTTTCTTAGTCTTTCCCTAAGTTTGATTCAAAACACAAAACAAAAGGGACACACCTTCATCATTTCTTTCTCAGAATCTGTAGATGTTTGAGGATTAAAGTGGTTTGTCATCTCATGTAATAATTTAGAGTTAGCGTGTATAGTCTCCAGCTCATTGATCCTTCTTGATACTTTCTCCATTCTTTCTGTGTCCTGAAAACACACAGATAGTAAGTATATGTGTATTATAATTCCATATCAGGTTATGAGGCAAGGGGGCATCGGTAACCAAGTGTTTAAGGTTGTTGACTTTAAATCATATTTCCTGTCATTGCAACAAGTTTGAATGCTGACAGGGAACTAAGGTGCCAGCTCTTGCCTGAAATAATACACAGGGGCAACTGAGTTCTTCCTCAATAGAAAGTGGCTGTATAACATCTTGACATAAAAAGATTATAAGGCATAGTGATGTGAATTTTAGAACATATCTAAAGATTTATCTTGCAATATTCACAGTATCATGATGCAGTGACACTGAAATTAAATACAATATAACTGGGATGACAATTATTCCAGAAATTTAAATTTAGCAGGATAAAAAAAAAACATAAAGCAAAACTTACTGATAGAAATCTCTTGGTTTGTACCACACATACTTAGATTCAATACTTTATGGCATGAATTAAGTTTACTTGAAAGCTTTCACACTAGAAAAAATCATTCTGTACATATCATTTAAAATTTGCCAATAATAATTACCTTTGCAAAACTGATTTTATTTTAATAATCAAAACTATTTTCCCTTATTTTAAATATATCTTTCTTTCAATCATCACTTTGTAAATTTGATCTCTTATCTCTTATGATATGAGCCGTGTCACAATAACACCAACATAGTACGTTTGAGACCAGCATGGATCCAGAGCAGCCTGCACATTAGCGCAGTCTGATCAGGATCCATGCTGTTTGCTATCAGTATCTCTACTTGTAATAGGGTTTGTAGGCCAACAGCATTGATCCTGATCAGACTGCACGGATGTGCAGGCTGGTCTGAATCCATGCTGGATGCAAACCCACTACGTTGGTTTTGTCGTGACACGGCTCATATGTAGCTAATATCTCTTGGTATTTAGGGAATGATTAAGATATAAATATCAATCACTATATCAACATCAGTTACCTGTTTCACCATGTTCTTGATAAGTCTATTAGCTGCTTGTAAATCTTCTGGATTCTTGCTTTTTAATAATTTAGCCAGTGTCTGAAATATGTTTATAAGTCATTTACTGCATCAAACATTAGAGTACAATTAAAATCAATCAAATTTTGTTTCTAGTTCTTTTTGTATTTGCTTTAACATTTGTTTTATTATGGCCATTTAATTTTAAATATTAGTTACACTTTCAGATCAATATAGTTCTCAGGTACAATTTAAGTACATGTGTATTTAAATCTTCAATGCAATAAAATAGTCCATACTGCAATATTTTAGCCAATTACATCTTTCTGATTTTGTTAGAGCCACTTTACCCTAACACGACAGAATACCATTATGTACAGTCCATAAGCATGTTTATGTATTAAACAATAAAAATGTTGACAGTTGTTAAGTGTGTTGCAGACTGGCCTAAATCTATACCAGGTCAAAGGTTTAGCACGTTTTGTTTTAGCACTGTAACACTTAAAAACATATCAAATACCTTTGCTTTTTCCTCATCTTCAAATGGGGCTCTTCTGTCTTCTTCAGGAACAGGCTTTGGTATAGTCCCTGTCTCCTGTATAATATAAAACCTCCAAAAATATAAAACCTACAAAGTCAAACTCTACAAGATTGATTTATCATTCAATATACTGCTGAATTTGTGTAATATGCGTTCCATCTTCTGTACGGCCTTTACACTTGAAGTCCCGATGCAGTGATGAACTGCACCGTTCTTCTAAGGTCCTCTTCGCTGCCCCATAGCTTTAAGATATTTCAGTATTAAAATACTAAAATTGAGCAGCCAACAGTATAAAGCCTTGTCAGACTGCATGGATGTGTGTAAATTGTGCATGTGTTGTTGTTGTTGTTAAACCCTTTTATCAACACACATACAGGGTTCTTACAGACATTCATTGCTGAAATTCAAGCTTCTTTTAAGCATGTTTCCCTATTTTACAAGCTCTTTTTGTCGCACAAATGCCACTTGTTACCAATAATTACCCTGAGTAACTAAAACCAGTCCTTGTGATAAAACATTGAACACTTTATTTTGACTACTTTATCGTTTGAGCCGTGTCACGACAAAACCAACATAATGGGTTTACGACCAGCATGCATCCAGACCAGCCTGCGCCTACATTTTTTACCTGATCAGACTGCATGGATGCGCTGGCTGCTCTGGATCCATGCTGGTCACAAACGCATTATGTTGGTTTTGTTGTGACTACTTTTATCATTTTACATAACACATATTATGTGATATTTTACAATATGCATTGTCATTTTTATAGATTTTAGTCTTAAGTACTCATAAACTATTGGATGATTCTCTAGACCATAGAAGCAAGTTTTATGTGTTTCAACAGATGTGCCAATGAAAACAACCAACATTGCTAAGGGTCATGGGGAATACAGTATTTTAATCTACAGACTAAAAATACAATGATTTTAACATTATTTCAACAGATGATATGGATAAAGCAACATAAAAATAATAATGAAAACCCTGCAGTAGCTTTACCATTTTTTAAGTAGGAGCGTAAGAAAAAACCTTCCTTACCTTATCCATATAAACTGGGTCTTCTTTTACAATACCCTGTTGTTTCAACATCTGGTAAGCCTCACCCACCTTTGGTTCATGAGGTAACCCTTTGTTCCAGCAATACAATAACTCTATACATTTCTTTTTCACCTTCTCTGTGGTTTTATTTCCCAAATACTGCAATATATACATTTATTATCAAAAATGTGTGTACATTTAATAATAAACATTAATGCATTTGTGAGTATAAATAGCAACACAATAGTTGTCAATAGGACAGCAAGCTGGGTTATTCTCAGTGCTTGATAGTAAAACTAGAGACTGGATAATAATCAGAAAGGGCAATAATTCTGTCAAAATCAATGTAAGAGCCATGGTCCTTAAACAGTGACCTCTTATTATGCTCTTAAATAAGTGTGTGAAGTCTCAACCAATTACCTTCAGAATCTTCAACCAATTTTTTTAGAAGTTTCTGATTTACCAACTTAATTGCACACAGAAACTTAACTAAAATGTGACAATGCGAACATGAGTGCAACAGCTCTCTCTATTCTTCAAACAGTTGAGCTAATAATTAGGATTATGAGTGTCACATGACTGATTGTGAGTTTGTATCTTCATTATCGGCTGTTTCCACATCAACTGATAGTTATAGGTTTCTAGAGTATACTTTCTTGCTGTCAATTCCCTTTGTTCAACAGTCTGTCTGTGGAAAACTCCAACCTTAACTATAGGACCTTCAATGTATCAGCTCACACTTTCATTCATGAACACAACATACCTCATAATAACAGTTTATTATTCTGACATACTGAAGCCTAAATGATATTTATGGTACAATTTTTTTTTTCTATGACTATGAGTGTATCTATACTGGTAGAGGAAGACTCCTTGCCTTAAAATGGGAATGAATGGATGCCAGTGTATAATCACTAGCTAAAAAACTTCATCTTATGAAAGACTTTTCTAGCAGGATTTGAGATAACAAAGAAAAAGGACAACACATTTATAATAAAAGCCATCAACACTTTGTAAAGGATCCTTTTCTTTTTAAGTATATATTGTAGAATGGAATAAATGTACTTAATATACCAAAAGTATTTGAATGAGCTTACCTTTGGAGATATAACCTTGATTATTTCATTCAAGAATCTAAACTTTCCAACCTCTTGATGAAAACGTTTCCCACAATTTTTTACGCAGGATTCCAGTGTCTAAATAGTATAGAAAATAAAATATTTTTCATATGCTTATATACACTCAAGTTATCACCAAAAAGAGATAACATTGCATTACTCCAAGTAGAATATTCAAGTTTCAACTTTCCAACTTTACTCGTGGAGGAAAACCTTAGGCATGGATGTTTTAATAATGCATGAAATTTCAAACTCTGGGTTCCAGCTAGTCAAGAAAAAGGGAGATGACTCCTCCCTTCTGACAAAGTAAAAATAAAATTGTTTTCACAAGACAGGAAGAATGGATTTTAAATTGTATCAATATTCTAAATTGTGAATCAATATTGAATCAAATGTTGAATATTAATGATATGTTCAGATCATCATCCTGAGAAATAAGAAATAAAATTTTAATGTTTGTGTATGTAAGTTACCTGTAAAGCATATAAGGATTCTCTTTCTATAGGAGACTGTATTTTATGAGCCAGAAGTCTGATAGCATAATGTGGACCTTCTAGTTCGTTGTTCACTTGATCAACAAACTTTAACATGGATTCTTCATCTGCCTCACGCAGGGCAGGGTTTGTAGCTGCATCTAAAATGAATGTATGGTTGAATGGTTATTTAATTACAGACAGTTATCATTCCATGTATAAAACAATGCTAATACATGTATATTTGCTTTAATGTAACTCAGCAAAAATATACCATCCATCTCCTTAACTATTTCAAATATTGTTTGTTTTGAATCAATTTAGCCACAGCTGCCATTATGTCAACATGAATGATGTTTTAACTAGCAAAGACACTTATTAACTGGATTTATGAACAATTTTATACCAGCCTACAAAATAAGTATCAAAATTAAAAATATTTCATCTGCAGGATACCTTGTGGTGACAATTTTACAGAAAACAAGATATGTTTGTAAAACATGTATGCCCCCTATCTGCAGCCAATTAGTCATGTGATAAGGTTATTATGCATGACTTCTGACCCAGTGATCAAACAATTAATAAGGGTTATCAAGTATCTACTGGTCATGACCTTAACCTTTGACCCCTTGACCCAAAACTCAATAGGGGTCATCTGCTGGTCACGACCAATCATCATACAAAGTTTGAAGTTCCTAGGCCTAAGCGTTTTTTAGTTAATTGATCGGAAACCGTTTTTACCTACAAGGTCAATGTGACCTTGACCTTTGACCCCAAAATCAATAGGTCATCTGCTGGTCATGACCAATCACCATACCAAGTTTGAAGTTCCTAGGCCTAAGGGTTCTTTAGTTATTGATCGGAAACCGTTTTAACATACAAGGTCAATGTGACCTTGACCTTTGACCCCAAAATCAATAGGGGTCATCTGCTGGTCATGACCAATCACCATGCCAAGTTTGAAGTTCCTAGGCCGAAGCGTTCTTTAGTTATTGATCAGAAACCGTTTTTACTTACAATGTCAATGTGACCTTGACTTTTGACCCCTTGATCCCAAAATCAATAGGGGTAATGTGCTGGTCATGACAAATCACCATACCAAGTTTGAAGTTCCTAGGCCTAAGCGTTCTTAAGTTTTTGATCAGAAACCGTTTTTACTTACAAGGTCAATGTGACCTTGACCTTTGACCCCTTGACCCAAAACTCAATAGGGGTCATCTGCTGGTCATGACCAATCATCATACAAAGTTTGAAGTTCCTAGGCCTAAGCGTTTTTAGGTAATTGATCGGAAACCATTTTTACCTACAAGGTCAATGTGACCTTGAACTTTGACCCCTTGACCCCAAAATCAATAGGTCATCTGCTGGTCATGACCAATCACCATACCAAGTTTGAAGTTCCTAAGCCTAAGGGTTCTTAAGTTATTGATTGTAAAGCATTTTTACCTACAAGGTCAATGTGACCTTGCCCATTGACCCCTTAACCCCAATATCAATAGGGGTCATCTGCTGGTCATGACCAATCACCATACCAAGTTTGAAGTCCCTTGGCCTAAGGGTTCTTTAGTTGTTGATCGGAAACCGTTTTAACCTAAGAGGTCAATGTGACCTTGACCTTTGACCCCAAAATCAATAGGGGTCATCTACTGATCATGACCAATCACCATATCAAGTTTGAAGTTCCTAGGCCTAAGGGTTCTTTCGTTATTGATCGGAAACCGTTTTTACCTACAAGGTCAATGTGACCTTGACCTTTGACCCCTTAACCCCAAAATCAATAGGGGTCATCTGCTGGTCATAACCAATCACCATACCAAGTTTGAAGTTCCTAGGCCTAAGGGTTCTTTTGTTATTGGTCAGAAACCGTTTTTTACCCAAGAGGTCAATGTGACCTTGACCTTTGACCCCTTGACCCCAAAATCAATAGGGGTCATCTACTGATCATGACCAATCACCATACCAAGTTTGAAGTTCCTAGGCCTTAAAGTTCTTTAGTTATTGATCAGAAACCGTTTTTGCTTACAAGGTCAATGTGACCTTGACCTTTGACCCCTTGACCCCAAAATCAATAGGGGTCATCTACTGATCATGACCAATCACCATACCAAGTTTGAAGTTCCTAGGCCTTAAGGTTCTTTAGTTATTGATCGGAAACCGTTTTTGCTTACAAGGTCAATGTGACCTTGACCTTTGACCCCTTGACCCCAAAATCAATAGGGGTCATCTACTGGTCATGACCAATCACCATACCAAGTTTGAAGTTCCTAGGCCTAAGGGTTCTTTAGTTATCACTCGGAAACCATTTGGTCTACGGACCGACGGACCGACAAGTGCAAAGCAATATACCCCCTTTTCTTCGAAATGGGGGCATAAAAATAACATTTTAATATATTCTTTCAGGAATCAGGTTATTTAGAGGAAAATCACATGGAATTAAATTCCTACAGGGAAGTCAAAGGTAGGGTGTGTGACTTGCCGGTAAGTTTGCATTCATTAAATTTTATTGTTCTTGATTAACAGATCAAAGGCAAAGGAATTATGAGTTATACAAGAGCTGTCCGTAAGACAGCGCGCTCGACTTTTTTATTGCTTGCCAATAAAAAAAGTTTTTGCAGTAAAAGGCAATACAAGAATCTCTGTATTTTTAAAGTGAACAATGGCCATGAGCATTAAGATATTTAGTGAAGAATTATTTTACTGAATTGTGTGATACCCATGAACACTGCAGCAAAGTTTGAAATGTTTAAGTCAAAAGAGGGCTGGTAAGAAAGAAAAAAAAACTGAGTTGAGCCTTAAATAAATTTAATAGTATTAAACCCACTTTGAGAGAATAAGGTATTTTTACGTCACTCAGAACACCTTGGTAAATGACATAATAACATAATTTTTCAAGAAATCTATGCCAAGGAAGCAGTATATTTTTTGTACAATCAGCATAATATATAGATTTGACTTTGTATGTGAAAGTATTATAGTTACCTTATAATACAAGTAATAGATAAATTTTATCAAGCTTTTTTAGATGTTGTCAGTTGGTCACAAGTGGATCTCTTTCACACAGGCTGTGGGTGACTGGTTACTTTTCGTGGGTCCACTATGTAGATAATGCGTTGTAAACTGATATTTGAATTACATGAAGGAAGTTCAATTCATTATTTAATGCCGGGGCGAGTAGGATAGCTCCCCTTTTCATAGAAAAGTCGAGCTAAAAAGTGGACTGGTACTAAAAAACTTAACCAAGATTCTAAGTCGATAAAAGGCCTTAATTTTTAAAACAAATCCTTGACAGAGTTACCTTCTCTTGCGTACAGATGGGGGTAATGATGTGAAATAGCATTAAAAGTTTCAAAGCAATATCTCAAAGGGTTAAGGCAATAAGTGGATTTTACCCATATTCAATGTATTTTCTAAGTCAAAAAGGGGCATAATTCTGTCAAAAACCTTGACAGAGTTATGTCCTCTTGTCTGTTGATGAAGGTCGTGATGGTAAACAAGTATGGTCAGTTTCAAAGCAATACCTCCAATGGTTTTGAAATAAAGTGAGGTGGTACAAAAAACTTAACCAAGCTCAATACACTTTCTAAGTCAAAAAAGGGCCATAATTCTGTCAAAAACCTTGACAGAGTTATGTACTCTTGTCTGTAGATGGAGGTTATGATGGTGAACAAGTATGGTAAGTTTCAAAGCCATACTTGTAATACTTCTGAAATAAAGTGGGGTGGTACGAAAAACTTAACCAAGGTGTGACGCCAACGCCGACGCCGACGCGAGTAGGATAGCTCCCCTTTTCATAGAAAAGTCGAGCTAAAAATGAAGGTTCTTGTTTTGGGTCTTTTTTTTTTTTTTTGCCAATTAAATCTGACCTGTTCATAGCTCAAAAACATATAACTGTGTCTATTTGACATTTGAAGCTTTACAGAGTATTCCTGAAAAAAAAAAACTGACCAAATTTAAGTTTAGTAACCTCTGTCTAAAGCTCTCACATATTTATTAGCATTCATTTACAAATGGCATATGACTATGAAATACTAAAGAAAGATCCAGTAAATAAGCATACAAAATACCTTTATGTTACCTTAATATACTGATTACTATACACTTTTATGAAGAAATTTTTCCAGAATTTTCTTTCTTACTTTAAATAATAATACTTCAATACCCTTTTCTTCATTATACTTACTTTCAAACATGTTTTTATTTTATAATTTCAGATACAGATAAAGACTGATTGGAATGTATTTCTTTTGTCATTGTCATGCCACTGACTTAGATTTAATGGGAACTTTGCTGCCCAACTTAACCTGGCAAACAACTTAACCCGGCAAATGTTACAGTTATTGAGCTGCAAGCTTTTATGATTACTGGCAGTAAATTATATGTTAGCTGTGTTAATGTAATAAAAATGTAGCTACCAAAATAAAGTTGGATATTGTTTTTTGTATATTGTTTTTCTAAATATCTTATGCCTTTTTAATTTAAAGTGTTCCATACTCAGCATAAAAAAGTAAGTTTAGTACTGACAATTAAATTCTGGTTATTTTGCAGTACCTTTATTTGAAAATAAAATACAGGCATGCAATTTCCACCGCAAATAACTGGCGCAAAGAAAAAATCTGCCATTGCTTTGCCTAATTTCATATTAGTAAAATGTTTATCTAGTTCTGTAATCACATTACTTACATTAGCTTAGTTTTCTATATTTATTATTCAATAGAATATCTAAGTGACAGGTGTAAATGTCATTTACATACCTGCCTCTAGAAGGAAAATATAAACATGTAACAGTAAGCTCGAGGCCTGCTCGCAAAGCGAGCTTTATGGTAACACGAGTACCTGCTAGATAGTGATGGTTTTGAAAACTTTTGTCTGAAGTACTGAACTGACACATCGCAAATTTTCGAATTACAATATAACAATAAAAACCGAGGTTTTCTGATTGAAAACGGAAGCGTAGAATGGTGTCCTGCGCACTTCTATGTGAACCACAACAGGACAGGGAACCAAAATAAATGGAAGCAGTGTGTTAAATACAGAATGACAATTATAAAACGAAAAATGTAAAATAAAAATGAATTATTATTTTATACTATTTCACGGTAAAAGTAAATCGAGCTCGCTTTAACTTTAGGCTTTGCCTTTTTCATATTAATAATCAATTCTATGGGCATATATTAATCAAAATACCATTTAACCTTATATAAAGAGATTTTAAATAATCAAAGTATCAAATTTATTTTGGGGTAAAAAATAGGGAGTCAACTGTCTTCAAGTATGCGGTCCTGGATCATGGACGGTCACAAAATTATACATTTTATACACATAAAAATTATACGTGGAAAGTCCAAGCGGAGACGGCTGTAGCGCTCTTAGATAACATGTATGGCGCGTATCAATTCAAATGAAATCAAATTAAAAGTAAATTAAAATTTCAAAAAATATATATCCTATACCTAATGAGCTGTGAAAAATCCTTAGTTAATTGGGTGCCGCCATTTTGAAATCCTTTTGAGCTAAATATAGATATCACAGCGCTTTAAATGAGCGTCTACATAATTCAGACTATTGCTAGCAGACGCATGCTTAATAACACTTCAGGTGAAAGAATGATGTACAAAATCAGAAAATAAACATTCACTTCATTCATAAGAAATATAGTAACAATGATAAATGTAAAAAGTTACTTTTAAATCCTTTTTGATAAATAAGCACATTAAAAATAACGTAAAAACAACATATGTGATTAGAGATTAACAGAAAATGGTGCATGGGAATTTCCAAACTCCGATGCATGCGCAGAGGTCCCTCTTCCGATGATAGGTTGAACACCACCAATTTATTCGTTTCTGTTTACGGTACAAAATACCTGCATTTACTTATTAACGAATTGCATGATAGATCTGGTTAACATGTACACTAAACATGTTATGCTTAAATCATAAATCATAAGAGCTTTCGGTGCCATAGCACCTAATTTCATATCAAAATTTTAGTCTCATCATGTCTGCATTCTCAAGTGTAGCAAAGCTGTAAATAATCAAATCTTTATTATTTCTGAAATGTTCAAGGACACAATTTTACTCACACAAATCTCAGGAGAATTATGGGTTATCAATCTGTTCTAATTATTTGCACTTCCTACTAGTGGGTGGGGTATGTTGAATTTATAGATTTCAACCAAATTTACACTTGCCTTCAAATAACCATGGCATTTACATAAATGGCAATAAGGGTAAGTCATTCATTGAATTTCATACATCTATAAAGTCCAAAGATAAATAGATATTGATATAAACTCATACTTAAAGAAGCTTCCAACGTCAAATCCTCTTCCTTGGTCGCCATTTTGAAAATAATCACGAGACGTTAACGAGAAATATCGTTGTCGTCCTCACAAGACATGAAATTGCCGGATTTTTAGTAAAATTTTATTCACTATGTTTACATATACAATTTCTCTATATTTGGTTGTTTTTCAGACTTCAAATACATGATCGTGTTTTTGTTGGTTTGTTTTGTTGTTGCTGCTGCTGTTTTTTTAATCACTTTCGATCATATTGGCAATGATGTATGTCTGTATCTATATAGGCCTAATCATATTTTTATAAATCAACACAACGTGGATTATTTAGCTGGTTACAAATAAATGCCTATCAGATTGAATGAATGAATAAATGAATGAATGAATGAATGAACGAACGAACGAACGAACGGACGGACGGACGAACGAACGAACGAACGAATGAATGAATGAAAGAATGAATGTTGTAAATATATCCATAACTGTCGATACATATACAAAAATTACAACGAATTTGTCATATAATATTGTTTTAAACCGATTAATTACATGCTTATCGATGGTTTATAGCTAGAAATACAGTGAATTAAAACTGATGATTTCACTGTTTGAAACAGTGAAATTATCAATTTGATAATTTCACTGTTTTGAATTTAAGCCCCTCACGTTGTTTCAGTGAAATACCAGCGTACACAGAACTGGAAACCAACTTAATAACATGGCGTCGTAAATGATGTTAGTTACGTTGTACAATTATTTCGCGCGTTTTTCATTTAGTGTTAGGTAAAAATGTCCTTTTAAACGTTTGTTTGCATATAATAAAAAGAAAATTTGTTTAGTTTAGTGTAAGATCGTAATATATTTCACATCGTGAACACCAAAAGTTCACATTTCGTGAAATATATATTTATTGAACGAGTTGACTTAAAAATCATATTATGCGAGCCTCTGGCGAGCATAATATTGTTTTATTAAACGAGTTCAATAAATTTAGTATTGAATCTGCACGAGTATAATATTCTTTTTATCACATATATAAAATAAGAACAGTAAACTGTTAAACTGAGTATTTTTTCAATGACGCGCCTATAGTGTAACGCTAACATTAGCGCGCTTTAACGCTATATTTCTATATAGCGCAAATGACGTCACGTCAAAGTGTTATTACACTAGTGTAATATCGTTTTTATTAAATGGCTTTATTACACTGCTGCGCCGCGGTTTATGTGATAAATTCCGATCTTACACTGAACTTAACAAATATCCTCTATATGATTACAATTATGTCATAAAAGTATGTTAAAAATCGTTACTATTGTAGAATTAAACGATAATTCTTGCTTTTATGTTTCTTATGATATCTGTACATAGTGTTTTTTGGCTTTCCTATGCACCGTCTGTGGGTCGTCACTCTTCTCTACGACGTCCAATTCCTCAACAAAACGCACACAAATGTGTTGCTGTCTGAACTTATAAAAACAGTATATAAATAACGCATAGGTTTGTGAGTAAAAGTTAAATATTTTAATATATGTTCTCATACTCACAAACATATGTGCTATTTTTTTATTACCCCGAACAAATACTTCATTGCGACACTATTTCGATAGGTTTTTATTGTTTTACCTATATATGTACAAATTTTTTAGTTGCATATAAAAAAAAATTCGTTTATAAATAAACTGGATTTATTTTGAAAACAAAAAAAAGTTAAATGTAATCGATTCTGAAATGCATACATAAGCCTATTTGTCTTTCCAGATTTAAAATAATAAGATATTGCAATTTACACGATTTTTTTTTACAGATAGTTAAAAACTGAGTTCCTTTAAATTTTCAAAACAAAATAGGATTTCTAGTGAAAGATACAAATCTTTAATGTTATTTTTTCTTGTCTGAAAAATTGGCTCTTAAAAACTGAAAATTGATATAGTTATATACGTTGTAATGTTGACTCGTTATTCCTATTTATATCACAAATAAATCTACGCATTTTACACGTGTTTAATGTATAACAAACTTTGTTAAATCGGTTTAATAGCTCTTATTTAGAAATCTAGATTTATACGGCCTATGAATATTTTAATAATTAAAAGAGCGGGAAAACATAGCACAAAGCTGACGCGACGTCACATTTAGCTTGTTTAATACTAAAATGGCGTCGCGTTAATTTCCGGGTGATGAAGAAACTCTGCATTTTGTTCTTGTAAATGCGCCGGACATCACTTACTCCTATGACTGCCTTAGAGGAGGAGCATCGCAGGATGTCCTTAAAACCTCTGGTATCGTTAACTCCAGTCCAAGAAACCCAAGGCAAAGCACTCGGTAACAATCATGTGAAACCTGTAAAATCAGCGACAAACAAACTTGAGCCTAAAACCAGGCGCACGAGCAGAGCGATAACAACAATGCGTCGAGATTTCTATATAAATCGTAAATATAATTCTGGCGATGGACCTGACACACTCGATCCAGATGAAATACTTGATGATGAAGTGCTTCTCAGCCGACTACAGCGAATGTTCATTGCTGCCGAAGAAGACGGTATGACGTGTTTGTATATGTAACAAAAATACGTTTCTTTTCAAATACATCTTTTATAATAATCTTAACATAATAAAGTAGAAATTAGCATGGTCAGGGGGTTCGAACGTATAGCGGTGCGATACTTCTTTAAGCGAGGCAAACTCATGCGATATAGAATAATGGCCAGAGAAAGTGAACATGAAAGTGGGTATGAGCATGTTTTTTTTCCAAATATTTGTTGTATATTGAAATTTCTTGAAGAATAGCATTGTGCATGCTGCTCAGAACTTATAATTGTGCATGATCGTCAAAATAAATTACTAAATCTTAAAGTATTGAGGAAATTATTGAGGTATTTGTTGCTGCAAATTCAACCGTCAACCTGATATGCACATGCAAACGAATACAGTATCAGTACATTTAAAAATATTCGATTAGTTTAAGTCCCAACATGTTTATTTTTGATGACAAAACGATATACAAGAATAGTTTTCCATATCTATCCGAATATATATACAATATTTCCAGTTTTCTTACTGTACGTCTAATAATTGGTCCGATAAACTAATTGTACGCACACATTTTGGTGTGTTTTTCTGTAGCGACGGGGACTTCATCATTACTGTACATTCTATTTCAATATTGATGAAATATCAAGTTTTGTGTTTGTATGTATATCAAATGTAAACCACAGTGTCAATAAAAACAACAGTGTCAATTAATGTATTATACTACGATATAGTTAATATTTAAACAACGCTTCCCATCCGTTCTTACATTTTCAATTTTGTCGTGTTGGACTTTCTTTAGGGATTCTGTATTATTCTATTTCATAGAAGTACATGTAATAATAAATTGTGTGTGTGTTTTTTTTGGGGTTTTTTTTGTTGTTTTTTTTTTTGCAATGGAACTTGAAACTTGAAAAAAATATGAAAAAATACTGGCTTGATTTCCTTTATGGATTGGATGTTATATATATATATTTTTTAGAAAATTAATAACATTGACAAAAGTCTATTAGATGACCCCTATTTATTTAATGCCGTTGTAGGTCAAAGATTAAAGCCATTGTGGCACTTTTATTATACAGGCTTGAAAGTAGTCATATTTTTGCCTACTTTCCTACTTTTGCAATACTCCTACTTCTTTCCTACTTTTTTTTTTACAAATATTCCTACTATTCTTTCTAACTAATAAATTCAAATGTCATACATAGCATAGATGAACGAAAGTGGAAAATAATTAAACTACAAAATTGAATTGCATTTATTACATGCTTTTCGGTGGTTTATAGAAATATATCAGTGATATAAAACTGGTAATTTCACTGTTTGAAACAGTGAAATTACCACTTTGATAATTTCACTGTTTTGAATTTAAGCCCCTTACCTTACGTGAACAGTACTGGGTACCAACTTAATGACGTGACGTCGTAAATGACGTCACGTTGTATTATTATTTGGCGCGCTTTTCATTCAGTATTAGGTTTAATGTCTTTTTAAAACGTTTCTTTGCATGTAATAAAAAGAAAATTTGTTTAGTTTAGTGTAAGATCGATATATATTTTTCCTTGTGAACACCAAAAGTACATATTTCACTCGTGGCTGCGCCACTCGTGAAATATACCTTTTGGTGCCCACTCGGTGAAATATATTCCGATCTTACACTGAACTAAACAAATATCCTCTATATATTCTTCAGTAATAAACTAAACTACAGAGAAAAAACTTAACACAAATTACATGATCAAAAGAAAAATAAATCGCAAACAAGATACAGTGTAAAAAAACAAGACTCTTAATTGTTGTTGAAAAGGGCGACAACTTTTTGGAATGAAGATACAGTAGCTATGAACGTTGTTAAAAATTGAGTGATGACAAGAAATATAGTTATCTAAGATCTTAGAGTTAAGGTTACTTTTTCAAATTCCAAATTATCACAGGTAGATATCTTATTATTGAAATAAGTTCAAATAGTAACACTATAAAGATGGTGATTCGAAACTTTTATTTGAAGTAAATCCTTAAGGAAAGAAGAAGGTATAAAACTTTTTTTTTCAGAAATTCGAAAACGGACACAAATACGGTAGCTCTCTTAGTAGAATCATAGTAAAACACGTACAACAGATGTGATAATGAAATAATATCGAACCTTTAACAGCGTACAGTTATTTCATCGCATCAAAACCCTGCTTACACTTGTATATTTTGACCTTTTTTGCGATTTTATTCACCGATACAAAATCAGCTGCCGTCAGTTTACCTTCAATAACTTTTTTAATTATGAATTTAAGAAGATTTATGAAATAAATAATAAAAAAACACTCACTGTGTTTACACTAATTAATCCGCCATTATTCCGTTTCGCATGATTTCACCTCGCTTAAAGAAGTATCGCACCGCTGGTTTCAACAGCCTCGAACATTTATTAACATTTTCGTCTGCACTCTCCAGGGAGAGGCTGGGGTGCAATATCCCAGATGATGTCATATCCTGTTGAAATCATGCCAGTTCATGAAACACAAACGAAAACTGAGTAAATTCATTTGAATTTTCAAGAAAATATGAAAAATGGGAAAATGTGCTGAACGGGGTCCTGTGCGGAACCAGGTACACTGATTCTACATATATACGGTTCCAAATATAATTATATTTGAATTTCACTCACAGTTTCTTTAATACGGGGGGGGGGGGGGGGGGCGTCCGTGGTCGAGTAGTTTCAAATCAATTGCCCCTCACCACTGTGCTTTCGATGCCCGCCAGGGACTTTGGGTTATTTCACGTTCGTGCCTGAAATAATGCACAGATGAAAACCAGGGGCCTTCCTCCAAACATCCAATCAGATGTGGAAAAGGTAATTTTAGTTAAAGAGCGTTTTGTATATACACTCAGCAAAAATAGAAACCTGACAGTGTATATTTTATTATTATTTTCAGGAAATCGATGACGGAAATGTAAAAAAGAATGTTGGGCATGAAAAAAGATGCATGCACAACATTGATATGCATTTTGTTGTTTATTAATTATGTTTAAGTTTGTTAAATTACGCTAATTCTAAGGAAAGGGTCAAATTCAATTTATCAATTTTGTGGCTATAACGTTTTGACTACGTGCAGATAAGTTTTAAGCATTTCCTTAACAGTTTTAACATGCATGCGATTTTTTCATTTAATTCAATATCGGTTGCGGCCACCTCTGGCTCTAAGTAGTGCGTCAATAGAATTGACGAAACGTTCATCCATTCCGCTATCAATGCATTTGTCAGTTGGAGGATATTCTGTGGGGCGTGATGTCGTCGGACATTTCTGCCAAGCACATCCCAGATTCATATCTGGAGACATTGCTGGCCATTGCGTGACGTTGGCTGCAGCTAAGCGAGCGCGAGTTATCCGGACAAACAAACAAACAAACAAACAAACAAAAAAAACAACAACACCAAACAACGACTGAAATACGACTGAATTATATTAAAATTTATCAACCACATGCATAAAATCGATGTTTCTGTTTATTGATGGTCGTGGCTTTGTTACTGGTCCCTCCAAGACGGAACTCCGCGTACTATCATGTAGTCTGTAAAATGATTAGTGTAGTGCCGTTTCTAACGGTTTGTACATGTGTGGTTATGTAAGGTAAGTACGCCCCAATAATGTTGTCAATTTCCTTCCCCACTCCCTTTTATAAATGCATTAAAAAAAAATATTTTCGGTTGCCGCTGGTCCGCCCTTTAAGTCATTTTGTCTATTGTTTTTTTTTCGGTGCATTGCTGTGTGTCTTAATATATCAAGTGATCTTGTGAGGCTGGACGTTATCGGTGGCTGCGTTTCATGAACGGAGTTCTTCCCTGTTGATCTTTATATTCATATTTTATTCAGTAAATTCAGTATTACAACTATTTGAATTGGATTTGTCCATCTGATTGATTTAAAAAATACTAACTATTATCATAATACGTCAGATGATACTGACGTCGTTTCAAAATGTCAAATTCTAACAAAACATTCGATGACGTCTCGTTAAAATAACCTCCCTTGACGTGACGTCAAATGATCTCCCTTGTTACTGATCAGTCTATTTATAGTAATTTTGGATGAAACTAAGCAAAGCAACATTAAGTTATTAAAAAACATCTGGAGCATTTATTTAACAAATATATAATAAAGTTTAGGTGATGTCGTTACCAACTTTGGAGACTTTCCACTCACGTCTGCTTTCTTTCTTTAAATATATTTTACCGTAACGGAGGAAGGAAAATGTCTCAAAGAGATCGAGCAGGAGACATTTCACCGGTATCATCAATATCGACAGACTCGAATGAAGGAAGAGGACATATGATATTGGATGAGATTGGTAATCACCGATGCAAGCATCGCTTCAAATTAGTAAACAAATTAAATAAAAATCAAATAGAAAAATCAAATCAAACGTAAAAAAATTCAAATATTCACAGGCTGTGGTGTATTATTCATAAATAATACTGTTATATAATAAATATGACCGTGGATGCACGAGAGCTTTTAGTATAATTGTCTGCTTCACATGAATTTTGTGGCCAAGTTGGAGCCCGACTTCAGGTGCATTGTATAATTAACACAATGTTTCGTTTCACACACAGACACTTTGGGTGTGGAGTTAATTCACGTTTGCCGACATAAATCTTGTACTGAAAACAAAAAACAATCTGAAATATATAGACAATACTGTCGGGTCTAGTGGGGCCGACACTAAGAAATAACTACAAATATCGTTCAAATCCTAGTCCATGCAAGGTGACTTAAGCCGTAAAGCTTTAGGAGCGTGACCCCAATACCCTTATTGTCTAATTATGACAGGTGGGAGACATAAGGGATAAAGTTTTTAGCTAAAACGACCTTCTCTACATGTTCAGTATTCTCTATATCTTCATAAAAACATAACTTATACAAATGTAAACAAAAACAAACGTCATCCATCAGCCATCTTTAGTGACCATCACTATAATCTCTTATAAAAGATAAATAAAAAGAAACAACTTAACTGATTTTTTAATTTGTGTAGTTGAATTAATTATGAAAAAAATCTGTGTAATAATCTATAAATGAGCCGCGTCACGACAAAACCAACCGAGTTTTGATACTTTGGAATTATAGAGCAGGATATGAGCCGCGTCCCGACAAAACCAAGATAATAGGTTTGCGACCAGCATGGATCCAGACCAGCCTGCGCATCTGCGCAGTGTGATCAGGATCCATGCTGTTCGCTATCAGTTTCTCTACTTGTTATAGGGTTTGTAAGCGAACAGCATGGATCCTGATCAGACTGCGCGGATGCGCAGGCTGGTCTGGATCCATGCTGGTCGCAAACGCACTATGTTGGTTTTGGCGTGACGCGGCTCATATACTTATATGAACATTTAAAAAATATTAGTGTTGAAATATAGAGAATACCATGCTTGTGTCTGTTATTACAAATTTATCAGGCAAGGGTAAGAAAGGAAAAGAAAGATCCTTCATTTTTTTTATCGATTCGAGCCTGAAAAATTTAATAATACTTGTTTGGTATTCTATTTATTATGTTTCCAATTTAAACATGCGTTTATTTCTTTGAATTTTAAATGAAACAAAACACTGTCAAGACCCTCTCGAGTTCATGCCGCGCGCAGTATCAAGAGTCATATTTATATGAAATAGTCTCAAATTTTTTAGTCAAATGTAAGAGAAAACTTTAATTTTCAAACATTCTATTCCTTTCAAAGTTTAGCAATTAAATATTATCAAATTAATGAAAGATAAATATATATATATCTATTTCCAGAGAAAACAGGGCTCGACATTGACGAGTTCAAGGAAGCAATGCAAAAGACGGTTGGCCGGAACAATACACAGGAAGAAATAGAAATACTTTTTATGAAGGTTGACGCTAATTGCGATGGTGTGGTCGACTGGGAAGAATTCGTGACGTATAACCTGCTGGAATACAAGGAGAAGACACTCATGATGGAAATGCTCAGAGAGAAACCTTTTCCAAATGATACACGCGAAATCGATAGCCGACATCGTGATATCATTGTTAAAATCCTTTTCTACCCTAATGTGAGAAAATCCGGGGCAGTAAGTTCGAAAATTTGTTACAAGTCAGGAAAATATGTGACGCTAAGTAAGGAAGGCGTGATTGGACTTTGGAGTTTAAGCATGCGAAACTTGAAATACTATAACGCAAATCAGTACCAGAATAGAAAAACACAATCTTGGTTTACGGATATGGTTGCCATGCACAACGTGAACATGTTGGCTTTGACATCGACCGACCGTGACATAACAATTTTCGATCTCACCGGAAAGAAATTTACAATGCGGTATTATCTTACCGGATTCGAAAGCTGTATTACTGCTATGGATTACTGGGTAAATCCAAATGATATGAATTTCGCAATATTGATCTTCGGTGATACAGCAGGAAGTGTTTCAAGCATGCGGTTTGATTCTGTTCTTCGCGGGGGACCTTTTGGTGCCACATCTGCAAAGAAAAACACATGCAAAAGAGTAAGCTTCCCGGAAATAATGAAAGGCTTTGTTTTGGGTGTTAAAGCATACAAGATGTCAAATATTCACGAGGATTGGGTCAACAAGGTCCTATATCTTCCTGAAATCGACTCTTTTCTATCATCATGCCAATGTCCCCAAACTGCTTTATTTTTTGGTGACTTTGCTGGAAAGAAAAAACGAATGTACTTTAAAGTAAATAAGGGTGTACTGAGCTTTGATTATTCGCATTCACTAAACATCATTGTAACAGGTGGCATGGACTATATGCTACGAGTTTGGAATCCATATGTCAACAATAAATGCATTGTTCTCCTGAAAGGTCACACAAAACCTGTGAATCACGTGGTTATTAACGGAACAAGACACCAAGTGATCAGCATCGACAAAGGGCGATCAATACGAGTTTTCGACCTCAGAGATCAGGCATGTTTACAGCATATCAGCGGTCGGATGATTAAGTGCGAACCCTTCCCTATAACAGCAGTCTTTTATAACGCCGCAACGCGGACCTTGCTGATAGCAGCCAATCAGATTGTAATGTTAGAAAAGCGCGAGGAAGAAGAAGGTTTTTCAGAGACAGTATCTCACAACAAACCAATCGTTGCTGCAATGTATAGCAAAGTTTTTGGGTCCGTCGTGAGCGCATGTCAAGAGTCAGTCGTAAGCATATGGGATACAAATTCTGGAGTTAAAATGATGCAGTTCGTAAACGCGCATAGCAGAATTGAACGAGGTGTAATGGTCCCAGTCGAAATAACGGCTCTCTGTTTTGATCAAAATGGCCGACGATTGGTTACAGGTGCGCGCAATGGAACTGTCCACGTATGGAATTTCAACAATGGTTCCCTTATGCAAAATTTTTCACTTCCAGACAGTTCTGACGTCACAGGATTAGTATGTACACAACACAGTATATACGTTTCGGGTTGGGGAAAAATGGTGTATATATATGTCGATGGCAGTGGAGAAGAGCATAGAAAAAACTGGAAAATGCAACACAAAGAAGATATTTTGTCAATCGCAGATATGCCACCAAATATGATGGTAACCGGGTCATATGACGGCGAAATTGTCATTTGGTCACGTGAGACCGGTCAGGTGAATTGTCGTCTGAATGCCTGTATCAGTGTAAAACCAATTACAGAGGGAGGGCAAGCCCGTAGACATGGATCTGTGAAAGAACAAAATGTCATTCCAACAACTCAGAGCGGTACATTCGACCATGTTGAAAGCACACATAAATGGTTAAAAGGAAAAGCAAAACTAAGTCGAGCTGGACTTCTGTTTTCTAAAAAAAGCGGAGAATTTGCAAAACAAGACTCGTCCGACGAAGAAGATGAATGCAAACACCCGTTACTGCCAGCACTTCATCCAGATTCATTTAACTGCGAAGGTGACTCACAATTTTCCAGAAATGAATACGACGGTGTTTGTAAAAGTTATGAGTCCGCGGTTGAGAAGATTATATTTCTTGACACACGTGAACCCTCTCACAAAGAAACGGCAAATATTGTAACAAGTGGTGCTGAAGGCTGGATTAGATTCTGGTCAATACATCACGAAGGTGGGCTACTCGGCCAGTTTAATGCTGCTCATAGGCTGGGTGAAAGCGTATTTACTATCAAATCCGACACCGAAGACAATTATTTGTTTACTGGCGACACTGAGGGGTATGTCAAAATATGGGATATAAGAGATTACTGCAAAAGCAAGAAAATGAACTCTGCTGAACGTAAAGCACACTATGAGTTTTTGAGGCGTAAGTTCACGTTTTTTCGTGCCGAATGTCATCAAGAAAGTAAGCAGTTGTATACTGTGCCATCGTACTTGAAGAATGTATTTGCAAGTCGACCACCTCCAGAATCCAGCAACCCAAAACGTACTCTGAAGTATCCTATGCTAGTAAACTCGTTCAGGGCACACATGCGAAGTATCAACAGTGTGGATTACGTAACAGACCGTGAGCTTCTCATAACCGGAAGTGCAGATTGTAGCATTCGAATATGGACAGTAAATGGACAGTTCATAGGTACGTTTGGTGGTGAAAAATGGCCGACACTACCGAATATTGTCACAAATGAGTACTTCCTGTCTCAAATTCCGAAGGATATTCGGCGAGCAGGCTCTGCCCGGACATTGAAAGTTATGCACGGTGGAAAGTTACCCATGTGGCAGTCAGCAATCAGTATCCTGAAGCATCGTGGAGTTGAGCGTCTTAAGAAACAGTTTGGTCATTTACAGGAAGTTGCCAGCCAAGTGCTAGATAAACGTGAGAGCAATGAAGTGTCTAGCAACATTCTAGGAAAGTCATACAAGAAACAAATGAATCACAGAATGCCCCCGACACTGCCAAAATTCATTGAAACGCCTGGAAAGGTGAGCATGATTTTCCTTTCATTGCAATTTATTTTCGGTATTACATTTTGCTCCTGATAAATCTTTAAATAGTCATTATGTTGGTTTTGTCGTGACACGGCTCATTTTATACATTGTAGGTGGCAGTCTATCACACACTGCCGTTCGTCGAGCTAACACCTATAGATCCGTTCACTGACACGATTAAAGAGATTCAGACCCGCCGTGCCGGTAACTTGGCTATGAATAAACTTCGAGGTCTGAATCCTAGGAAGCCGGATACACCGGCTATACTGCAGGTGTTTAACCAACTAGTGAAAAAGCAAGGTTCACCAGTACAAAAATACAAACTAGGGAACAGGTACATTGTTTGATTGTTAATATTTATACCAAACATAGACCTAATATCCTCTTTATTCGAGTTTTTAGTAAACATTCACAGATTAGAGCCCTATTTGACTCACGACAATGTTTACCAACAATGCACTAGGAGAGGTTAGTCCACAATTAGCTCCACAAAATGATAATGATACAAACTTCTCTTCCAGATAGTTCTCTAAGATTGGTATGTTTGAACTATAATCTGTCAAGGTCTCCATTAATGGCTAACTCGCTGAACCAACAGGACAAGAAAAATGTAATGAGCAGAGCTATCAATATATAGGCTTATGTCAATAACGTATAAAGTAAATGGTCATGTAACAAATATTTTATTGTTGAGATATGCCGGTATATCAGTAATATATTGTTTCTGAGTGACAGATGAAATTTTGGCTCCTATTCTATACATTGGATGGCACAGCAAAGACGTATGTATCTAACGTATAACGTAAAAGCATTTTCATGACGTCATAATGTTTGGGGTCATTTGGTGCCATGTCTGATTCCTTTAATTAAAGCAAAAGTTATAGGAGGCCTAAACAAGAAAAGTGAATATGGAATATATTTCAATTCGAAGTCAGATCTTTTATATAGTTTTACTTTATGCACTATTAAAATATTTAAGAAAGCCTCACTACCTAGTAAGGTATTCCATGTTCACTAAAACAAACAAACAAACAAACACTTTTTTTTTTGCTAACAAACAAAACAAACAAACAATGTCCTCTATATAAATACATGCAGTTATTATTGATTTCAGAACAGAAATAGCATTTTTATTGTAACACCATTGTTAAGAGCTATAATGCTATGTTTAGATATACTTTATTGACACAATTTATTTTTTAATATTTTGGTTTTGCAGATTAAAAAAAGTTGCTGATAGATACCAAAGTCCAATATCTGCTCGTGGTAGACGACGCAAAGACTCCAGATCAGCCAGTAAAGCGTCTTCAAGCAAATCGCAACCGGAAACGAAGGTTGTAGAATCGCGTGACGGTTCACGCGCAGAAACGAAGGTTGTAGAATCGCGTGACGGTTCACGCACAGATCTCTCGGAAAGTTTAGAAGAGGACGAGAATGCATGTGATAAACTTGGGTCATCAACCCTTTCATGTGGTAGCCCGGGAAATGGTTCGCGTGCTGATGTTAAATTACCATCAATTGTGGAATGACTTGTTCAGAATAAAACAATGAAAAAAGAAAAAATGAATATTCAACAAATATATTAGTGATTGATTAAAAAAGATAATAACCAATATGTTTTGTAAAAAAATCAATTTACGTTCAGATTGCATTTAAAACATTTTGTAAAATTTTATACAAGTTTAATGTAAATGATACGTATTCTGGTTGTGCATTTCATTTATACAAATGTATTCTAAATTGAATCATGTATTCTTTAAACATTTATTCTCTGCGTTATCAAAGTTTGTTTCGCTTGAACATTTTCAAATTGTTCATAAATTTTGATAAATAAATATAGTTCATGTATATAATATCCATTTACTGTGTTAAAAAACAAAATACGCCGTGACTTGTTCTAAAAATGCCGAAATGCAATATGTCCGCATATTGCATACTTGGCTTTTGCAGCTTGCTTTACTAGCGCCACGTAGCTTATTGTCCTGAAGTATATATAGAATATTGTACGAGTGTGCTACTTTGAAAGGTTGTAAAGCTGCTCGAGCAACTTAATTGTGTAAGAATATATTCTTCATATATTTAATAAATGATCTCGCAATGGGATACAATTTATACCTATAACAAAGTTTGGTGAGGAGTGATGAAATGATAAGGGGCGACTACTCTTGACAGATGCACATGAACAGTTGGACAAGTAGCACATATTACTATTTGAATTACCTCTACAAGAATCATAAAATTCTGGATAGGTATACTATTCAACAACGTTCGGTTTTTTTAGATTTTTATAGACACCAGTCTGAAGTCTGACAGTTGCATTTTGTTTGTTTGTTATTTGTTTTCGGTCATTTATTATACAATATTGATTAAAATAATTAGAACTACGAAACATGTCCGCCCAGTGCATTTAGTTAGATCACGAATGTTGATAAGTTGCATGTTTTTATGTAATAGCTTCTAATGCACTAATGATGTGTTTTGATGAAAAATAGACCCATAGATAGGACGAACCATTTCTTAATTAGTTTTCCAGATAAAATTGTTTGTTTATACATTTTGGATTTGGCGCATGTTCATTAGGTATGTTTAGTGTAGGTAGGCTAAAATAATGATTAGAAAGTAGTAGTATTATAGTTGCAGAACACCACGTAGTAGTGCCGATTTCGATAACAAATTTTCCAAGAAATTTGAAATATATGTTTTGGACAAGATTGTTATGTATTTATTTCGTGATGGTCTGTCAAGTTTCATCATCAAACAATTATCCTTAGAATACCTTCGAACTACGAATTTTTGGAGCAACTGGTGATACATCTAATGAATTAACTTTTTTAATTTCCAGTGTTTTATTGTAATATATCAGATGATTATATTCTGACAAACCACTAGTGAAATTTATAAAATATAATTTTCACTGTAGCCGAACTATATCTGAATGCGGATGAAAAGAAAATCATAACTAAATGGAATAACAGGCAGAAATAAATGCCGTCATGCGTAAATTTTGCTTCTTTAGGAAAAGAAAGTCGATGTCACCATACATCATGTTAAAAATGTAACAAAGTTAGAGAAATTTACCAGAACTATATTTCAAAATTGATGATGTGACGTCATGATATGATGACGTCAAAAAGGAGAATGTGCGACGTTACGCGGCAAAATCAGTAAAAAATACTTATAATCACTTAAAAAAGCGTGAAATAAAAAGAAAATTTATTTGTTTTACATATAAGATTGAAATATATTTCATTCGTGAACACCAGCTATTATATTTTCACTCGTGGCTACGCCACTCGTGAAAATATTGCATCTGGTGTTCACTCAGTGAAATTATATTTCAATCTTACATGCAAAACAAACAAATATTCTCTATGTATTTATTTCGTGATGGTCTGTCAAGTTTCATCATCAAACAATTATCCTTAGAATACCTTCGAACTACGAATTTTTGGAGCAACTGGTGATACATCTAATGAATTAACTTTTTTAATTTGACGTAAATAACGTATAAATGATCTTAATAAATCAGTTTTTAATACTTTTCAAGGTCATTAAGATCAAAATACTGTTATTTTCATTTCTCAAACATTTTGGTGACCTTTCAAAATTTCTGCAGAACTCGTAAGCAAAATAGTTGAAACATCTTTATATTAATATGTAACATTATAAAAAAATCTTATAAAATTTAAATAAAGTGACAAAAAATTAATAAAAAGGAATTAAACAAGAATATAACATTTGAAAATATCCACCTTAATTAATGTGGTTTTATTATTTTGTAACAATAGATTACATATTTAAGACCACAAAATGAAATTATTAAAAAGAATATATGTATCTATTTTCATTGTACCCTAAAAGGATTAAAGCTTTGTAGGAGCACATTTGTCTCGGAGCATATTTGTCTCACGAAGTGTGACCGATATGTTCGTAAACATTCATATTTGCGACAAATTGGAAATGAGACAGATGTGTTCGACAAACAATAGAAAGGACACTCGAAGCACATTTGTCTCACATTTTTTCCATAAAATTCATAAAAGGTAATAATTATGTCCATCTGTATACCGGCTACCAGCCATTGTTCTGTGTTTTCTGTATTTATAATACCGTTTTTAGGTCACTTCCGGTCAGTCAAAAACTCCCTGCCTCTACATAGGAGTCATATATTAAATTTAAGAATATCCCTGTTCTGCTTGTCACAATGAAAATTTCTACAAGTGCAGCATCCAGAACCTAAACACATATGCAGCAAGTCTATTCTTATCGTTATCAATTGTGATACGTTTATTTTCAATGCTTTTATAAATGATTTATGGCACTAGAAATATTCTTAGCAAAAACAAGGTAGTATCTACGGTGGCATAAAGGGGACATAGAATTTTCTTATCTATTTCGTGCGCACACGATAGCTTTTCCGTGGCCACGCGATACTATTACGTGCGCACGCGATAGCTATTACGTGCGCACGCGCATATGTATTGCGCATTTGGACCCTGACCGGGATACTTGCATGAATAGTTCGAAGCCCCGTGTATTTGTCGAACCTACAGCGGCTAGGGGCAAGTGGTGTTTCGAAATCACTCGGCTACGGAGGCCCTTAAATGATCCATGGAGAAAAAAACAAGACCATTACACACGTATTTCGTTTTCATCAGAAATATATGTATAAAAAGTCGTCATTTTCCAAGAATTGCGGCTTTCAGATTCGCCATTAAAAAGACACTTACAACATGCATGAGTTCCTAAAATAATCCGGGTAATGCCATGATTATGAAATATCGGGCCACTCAGAATCGGGCAAGACGCGACATTCCGATGAGACACGAAGCGAGGCACGATATTGTAACAGGATATCTCGCAATGTCGATGTATCCCGTGCCAAGAGATTTCAGAAATTAATAAATTTTTACTTCTTTAGGTAGGGCAAGTATGACTTTATTAATATTCAAATAATGATTTCTGAGGAAGTTAGAAGCTTGTAACCCAAAGAAATTCGCGATAAATGTGAAATAATGCGTCATAAATGTAGCAAAATATAAACAATGTAGTACTTTGACTTCAATACAAAAATTCTAAATCACTTCAACTGTACAAACTGAAACAAAGCAGCAGATGAAAAATGCTTCAGGTAATTAGCCAATGAGTAACTTTTTAGAGCTAAAAAAGTATACCAAAAAAAAGGCTTTTGAGGAATGTATGTGAGAAGTTAGCAGTTAACAGTGAGCTAAGCAAAAAGGCATTACGATTTATATAGGGAAATTAATGATCTGCTGTTATGCTCAGCTGGGTAAGCAATCTAGCAGAACATTCCAAAATAAAGTGTAGAAATGCTTTGCTGGTATGCTCAGCTGGGTAAGCAATGTAGCAGGCCATAACTATATATAGTGTAAAAATGCTCTGCTGGTATGCTCAGCTGGCTAGGCAATCTAGCGGGGCGTTCCAAAATATAGCGTAAAAATGCTCTGCTGGTATGCTCAGCTGGCTAGGCAATCTAGCAGGGCATTCCTAAATATAGTGTAAAAAATACTCTGTTTTTATACTCAGCTGGCTACGCAATCTAGCGGGGCATTCTAAAATATAGTGTAAAAATGCTCTGCTGTTATTCTCAGCTGGCTAAGCAATCTAGCGGGGCACTCCAAAATATAGTGTAAAAATGCTCTGCTGTTATGCTCAGCTGGCTAAGCAATCTAGCGGGGCATTCCAAAATATAGTGTAAAAATGCTCTGCTGTTATGCTCAGCAGGCTAAGCAATCTATCGGGACATTCCAAAATATAGTGTAAAAATGCTCTGCTGGGTAAGCAATCTAGCAGAGCGTTCCAAAATATAGTGCGAAAAATGCTCTGCTGGTATTCTCAGCTAGCTAAGCAATCTAGCAGGGCATTCCTAAATATAGTGCTAAAAATGCTGAGCTGTCTAGGCAAACTAGCAGGGCATTCTTAAATAAAGTATAAATTTCGTTGGTCTGCAACTGGTTATTTGGCACTCGTAGACTTTCTGAAATATTTAGTGCCAATGCAGATTATGTCATTTTTGACTTCTACGGGACCCTCAAGTGTCTATTTCTTTGGTCTCCGACTGATTCTGGGACGATCGCAGACTTTCAGGAATTTTTGGTGTTAATGCAGATAATGACATTTGTGAATTTTTAGGACCATCCAGAGTCCATTTCGTTGGTCTGCGAATGTTTCTGGAACACTCGCAGACTTTCAGAAATTTTCGGTGCCAATGGAGATAATGACATTTTTACTTCAAAAGGACCATCCTGAGTCTATTTCGTTGATCTGCGACTGATTGTGAGTCACTCGCAGACTTTCAGGAATTTTGGTGTCAATGCAGAAAATGATATTTCTGACTTATTGGGACCTTTCTGAATCAATTTTTTTGGTCTGCGACTGATTCTGAGGCACTCACAGACTTTCAGAAATATTTTTGTCAGGGCAGATAATGACATTTTTTACTTTCAGGGACCATCCAGGGTCCATTTTCTTGGTCTGCGACTTAATCTTGGACAGTCACAGACTTTCAGGAACTGTTGGTGCCAATAGAGATAATTACAATTTATGACATTTTTGACCATCCAGAGTCTATTTCGTTGGTCTGCGACTGATTATTAGGCACTTGCAGACTTTCAGGAATTTTTGGTGCTGATGCAGAAAATGACATTTTAGGGTGAAAATGCTCTGCTTATGACTAAGGCGTCCTTAAAAGTAAAAAAGTCATGATCTGCAATGGCACTAAACATCCTGGAAGTCTGCGAGTCTCAAGGAATCAGTCGCAGACCCAAGAAATGTACTCTGGCGGTTCCCTAAAAGTCAGAACTCTGGTGGGTCGCTAGAAGTCAAAAATGTCAT